CTACCTGGATGCTCCAGCTGTGCGTGTCACCGGTGCTGATGTCCCCATGCCTTATGCAAAAATCTTAGAGGATAACAGCATACCTCAAGTGAAGGATATAGTATTTGCAGTGAAAAAAACTTTGAATATATAAGTTGTAAATAGATGTTTTAAAATCCTGCTCTACAAGGCATTCTTGGTGTTGGGCATGTTGTATGCATAATTTCTGTTGTATAAGCTCCATGATCTTTTTTGTACAGTGGGGAAAGTATAGTGACCTCCCAAAATATTTATATGGGGTTACCCCCCCAAGCCACACTTTCTGTCTGCAACCATGTGGTAATGCTTGTTTGTTCAACAGTACAGCTGGGTCAGTGCTGCTCTTTGTGGAGAAACCCCGTTGTAAACTCAGCATGAGGGGAAATCCTCTGGTTTTGTGGCTTGTAAGTGCCAGAGGAGCTGTGTTGAAGCTGCTGCAGCAGTGAGTGAGGGCAGAGCTGCAGAGAGCAGGAGCAGGCCTTGAATGCTGCACAGCTGCAGGAGCCTGTGGTTGCAGGGCTCATTGGAGAGCAATGATCAGGCTGATCACTGGAGCCCAGCCCTGAGTGCAGCAGAGGCTGTGGCAGCCCAGGGCTGGCTTAGGAGATGCTGGCTGTGTCTGCTTTGAAGAGCACTGTGCACATGCAGAAAGGCTTCTGTACAAGAGCTCAAATAAAGATCCTGAACCTTTCCACGATGTGATAGGAAACAATACCCGATTTTTCTTTACTACCTGCCACATAACAGTGATTAAAAAAAATGCCCAGATGCTTTGCTTTTACTATTCAAGTTTTTTGTGGTTTCTTTTTTTTTTTTAAGCTCCTCACCTAGGCTGACAGCAGCACACTCTTACTATAGCTCTTGCAATGCAAAATGAGTTTATCCAGCTGCACTGAGCCCAAGCAGCAGGTCTGTGGAGTGTGTATGAAGAGCTGGGACACATTTAGAGCAGCCTTTGGAGATCCCAGGGAGCTCTGCCAGGCCTCCCTCAGCAGCTCCTGGTACAGAGGGAAAGCTGCCTGGAGGGGCCTGTGCAGCAGGGGCTGCTCTGCCCCTCGGGTAAATGGGGGCAGAGGATCTTCTGTGAGCAGGCAGAAGAGTTGGGTCCTGTTTCTGCAGAGCCAGGAACACTCCCCAGAGTATTTCCTGTAGCAGAGATGCTGCTCAGTTCTTGGGAGGTCTGGCTTGGAGGTTGAATCCCACTGGAACATACCCACCACATGCTGCTGAAGGAATTCCATTAACATTTTAATAAAAATGAATATCACAGGTTACATGAAACTTTGTACAGACATTCTCTGCATAGTAACAAACACTGATGTACTTGAATTTAAAAAAATGGATTATCTATAATCCTTTAAAGTGCAATTTGTTTAAGGTTTTAAATCAAAAAGGATCTTGCAATAAAGTTTAAATGATAGAATTAACTTGAAGTAACTTTTCATTTAATTAAATCAACAAAAACATCCCAGTGCCCTATAACCTCCCACTTCAACTGCTTCCTCATTTAAAAACACTTTCTCCTAGAGTTGCAGGTAGGATGTCCATTTAAACAAGCTTCATGAGACAGCATTTTAACTCCACCAGCAAAACATGGTGGGAATAAGATTTAATTCTCCAGTTCCCTCACCTGTGCAGTATGTTTCAAAGGTTGGATTATGTAAAACAAATTGTTGACTCCATGCAGCAAGAATTAAGATGAGTTACAAGTGCGTGAAAAGAGTTGAAAAACTGAGCAGACTAAAACTACATTCCTGTAATTTGAAAAATGGGGTGGAATGGAGCTAGGAAAAATGCATTAATTTACCATCATCATGGTCATTCCTATTTTCAGATTTTTTTGTTCAGCTACAGAGGAGTTGCTGTTCCCCTGTAGGTGTAGCTGGAGAACCCAGTTCCTACAGCCAAGTAAAGACCGGAGTGCTCATCCCAGCGGGGCACAGCAGGGATCAGGGTGTTGGGATCGCAGCAGCCCGGGCAGGCAGTGCTGGAACCGGGCAGAGGGGAGCTGCAGTGCTGGGTGCTGCTCAGGAGGGGCAGCACAGGAGGGGACAGGGAATTGAATCCTGCAGTGACCGGCGGCCTCAGCTGATCCTGGGGGCGCTGTGGTCGCACGTCTGTGTTTTCTTCAGGGTTCCTTTCTGGAAGTTCTGGATGGAGCTGAGCAGGGCTCCTCGGCTGGCGCTGACCTCGGGCCGGGCCGGGGGCGCCTCCGCGCTCCCCTCTGAGCCCGGGGGCGGAGCTGCTGGCGGCGGCGGCGGCGGGGCTGGCGGGATGGACGATGCTCCTGAGACATTCGGGAGAGAAGGTGGAGTTTGGTTATGCCGGGCAGGTCCTGCCCCAGGGGCTGCGTGGCTGGACTTGCTCAGTCCCGCACTAGTCCCGTCATCCCTTGAATGCCAGTGAGTGTGAAGAACAGAACAGATGGAAAATGCCAAAGTGATCCAATCCCTCTATCTGCAGGTGAGATAGCATGGCATCTGAGATACCTCTGAAATGAAGCCTGAAGGGCCTCAGGACTCAGATGCAAAACGTGACTCATATGTGATCTTGCACCAAGGAAAACAGGGATCACTGAAGGGGACTTCCCAGGTTCAGCTTCACCTGCTTGTCCCTAGTGAGGCTGTTCATGTTCTGTGGGACATGAACAGCAACAAGGACTGGAAGCAAATTTTACTACCTGTTCTTACTTACATAACTCATTTTACAATCCTATGAATGAAGAACCACATCCCTGTAATATTTGTGATGACCATTTCACTTGGCCAGATTATACCTCATTTTTAGAGTACTAACTGCAGATAGAGTTTTCTGGAAGTGTTTTACACTTCCAAAGTTCTGTTTGACTTTCTCCAAATATGTTGTAACACATGGCTGTTTTGACAGACTGAATGAATCACAACACTGTCACACACACCTCCAGCCTGCCTCTCTTGTTCCCACCTTTGTACTCTGTCCCTGCCACATCCACTTTCTGCTTCTCATCCAACCTCAGCCTGCACATCCTGACTCCCTGGGGAGCCAGAGCCCACAGTGGAACGTGCAGCTGCCCCAGCAGTGGGGGCCTGCAGGGAGCTGTTCCTGGCACTTCAGAGCCAGGCAAGCGGATTTCCTCATTCACCCAGGAATTCTCCCAACACCCTGATCTTGTGCAGCCCTGCTGCTACACCACTGCTACACCAGTCAAATAACAATGGGCCATCTTGTCTCATGTTCTGGAAGGAGTAGGGACATAAAGATTAATATCCTGGTACTGCTCAGCAGTGAATTTGAACTCTAATCTAGATCATGAGTTATGCCGTAGGAAGACTGAAGAGACAAATGGCACCTAGTAACACTTGCTTCCAGTAGCTCTGACCTACAAAGAGGAATATACTGGTAAATGGCAAGAACTGTGATACTGGGCAAGGAAAACAACATGAAGGCAGCCAAGAGACTGTTGTTCCTCAAGTGAACTGCTTGGTAGAAGTGAGCAAATATCAAGTAGGTGAGCAAATATCAAGTAATTATGTAACATTATGCCACTCAGACTCAAAAGGGATTTGATGAAGGATAAAGCTCAACTACAGAAAAGAAGCAGAGTTCTCTGTGCTCCATTTGTCTGTCAATTCCTCATCAACAACTGTTTTTAGGCTAACAAGTAAAGTAAAAACACAACTGCTGTTATTAAAACAAGCAGTTATACTAGATGAAAGACATAATTCAAAACTTCCTTATTTTCTATCTGTACCAGTCTTTGAAGAAAGACTTTTCCCATATGAGAGCAAGCTCAAAATGCAGAGTATTCACATAAAGCATCCAATTTTGGCAGTGTACATTAATATGTGCTGTGACTGTAGCACTTCCAGCTCTTCAGGAGAAATTCTCATTGGCACAAAAGCCTTCTGTGAAAACAAAGCATTAAAGTACACATTGAGCTCATCTTCACTCTCTTCCCTTCCAGAGGAAATACTCAAGTCCCAATAGAAACACCAGAGATGAACTGAAACAATTTAACCTGCCTGTTGCCTGTGAATCAACTGCTTTCTGAGGTAACCAAAACTTCACAGGATGGCAGCACAATCTGAAATTACATACTGGGGCCTTCTAACTTATACAAATCTGCTTTTTACACTTGCCAAAGATGTACATCAATTTACTGTTAGAAATACTGACTAAACATTCCCAGCACTAGAGTCCTGCTTTTCTTGTGGATGGATGCCAGGAAAGAAAAACTTGGCACTTGTCCAAAGGAAGAATAAGACCAAGAGCAGTCCAAGAACTCATTTAGTGGTTGAAGTGGTCAGAGCAGGACTGGTGCACCAACCTACCTCCAAACAGATCATGCAAACTGCTGTGAAAGCACCAAGAGCAGCTCATCACAAAAGAAATGCATCAAAGAGATGCAAGAACTGCAGAGAACAGACAAGATTTTTGTCTGGGATTGCAAGGTGAGGCTGAAAGAGACTATGCAAGGAGTTGTACAAGATGCAATAGGAAATGACCACGAAAGCAGTGGGCAGGGAATACAAATACAGTGGTAATGTGGTGAAAGAAGGCACATGTTCAACACACAGAGAGCAAAAAGGACACAAAATGCTTGGATCACTAAGTATTAGTAGGCCAACATTCCACATGCTATCTTCAAATTTTGGTCTGGTTATTTTACAAGAGTAAAAAGACAGGGATGTAGGGGCAGAGATCACCTTTCTTCCTGGAAATCTGTTAAGTTCCTCAGGACTCACTATTACTGAAATTGAGCTGTAGTTGAACTCTTGGGAGACTGCTAACATAGAATTGCACCTCACACTTGAGCTCTGCTGTGAGACATTAATACACTCAGGGTTCAGAATGACATCTGACAAGCTATGAGCCTTATATATTGAACCTGTTAATTAAGAAATCTTCAAAAATCTTCAAATCCATTCACTTCAGTCAGGTAATCAACACCAAGCTGCCCTTCCCTTCTTGACACGAGTGGTGCAAAGAAATCTGAGTTCACACACATTTACATCTACAGAGGAAATTGTTCTGCCCTACAGTGAAATCTTTTCCTGTATTTACTAGAAAAAACATTTGAAACAAGTGCTTAGCTATCACCAGGCCCTTCCACTACATCCATTGAAGGATATTGCCTGCAAACACACATTTTATTCATTCATGCAGTTATAAGAATAAAACACTCAAACAAGAACTTACCAAGGGTTTTTACAGGGACATTTTTGTTAAAAGAGTGTGTTAAAAGGAATAGGAAGTAAATCAGATGCTGTAAACTTGATGCCTGAATTGAAACAAAAACTTAATTATGAATTTAAAGTGACAGCAATTGTGCAAACAGCATTAAAAACTTGGCTGAGAATGGGATGTGAACAAAGAAAATAATTTTAGTGATAGTTTTTAAAGATGCTGTATTTCATTAAAATAATCTGTAAGAACATTCAGATTTTTTTTCTTCTATTCCCTCCCAATACTAAGCAACTTCAAGATTTGCATCCAACTTTCCCATTCAGAAACAGAGCATCTTTAAAGAGATAAATCAGCATTAGCTTACTTTTCCGAAAATTCACGTTCAAAATGATGCATGCTCTATTGAAGACAGCAGAGAAAGAGAGAGGACACAAGTTAATCATCCAGTTCTCGTGTCAAAGTAAGAAAAACAGACACTGTTAGCTGAAAAGTTAGTACAGAAGTCAATATATTCTTACTCACTGACAAATATGAGGACAGCAGATTGACTATTTCATATTACATTTACAATACTTCACTCAATTCTGAAAAATGAACAACAATTTTCCATGCTCTAAGCATTATTATACCTGATAACAAATACAACATCCATGCTTTCAGTTGCACATGCCATAATTCAAGCTCCACAGGATTAAAGTGCATTTAGAGAGATTTAGAAAGAAATCTGCAGGAAGGTTGGACACAGAAGACAAAATCCATTCCGTTCCAGAAACACTTCCTGCTGTATCAACACCTGTATTCACGCTTGTGGTCAGAGACACCCAGGAAAAGCACTTCCTAAAGCATTCCACCTGTTTTACAGGAAGGTGAGGGGCAGGAAAGATGCACCATAAGGGTGCCAATGAAACACATGTCATACTGAAGGATTCAGAACAACTGGCACAGAAAAAGATTGTTAAGTACAATTCTTTCACTATTCCTGCAGGTAAATCCAGAGAAGCAAAAGTGACCCCCTCCAAATTTGTCTCTGTTGAAAGAGATCTTGCTGTATCTTATGGGCTTATTTGATTTAGAAAATATTCAGTGAAATTTTAAATAACCCATACCACACTGTTCTGCAGCCCTTCTGATCCTAGCCACTGCTCACAGCCACAAAGAAAATGAACAGATTTTCACAGCAGGAGCAAAGAATTGGGGGAAAAAAAAAAGAACCACACCAGGAGAATGTCAGAAACACAGGATGTTATATTAGAGTCACTTGCATGATCTAACTATGTATTTCAAATGCTCTTTAGCCAAGAACCTGCAGCACCACCAGCCCAAAACATTCTCACCAGTGAGAACAGCCCATGAGAGCCAACACCTCCAGAGGCACCTTCCCCCTCATGCTCTCAGTCCTGCAGCTGCCACCACACAGCAGAAGCCAGCCATGGTTTTATTCCTCACTCTGGTTTCCATCCACTCTCCCAAGCTCTCTGCTGCAAGCCAAGCCTCTCAATGCCTTTGTTCAGAGACAAAGAACCTCTCAACACATGAGAAACCCCCTGCAGGAGGCTCCTTCCCCAGGGCAGGCCAGCCTGGAGCCCTTCCCCTTTGATCAGTGTCTCTCTCTTCACACAGCACACTCTGCATGAACAGTTACAGGCCAGGATGGGAGCAAAGCTTCTCTTGAGGGCACTTTTTCCTCATCAGCCTTAGTTCTGTCATGGTATTGTATCAGCAGGATGCTCTGAGAGGCCCCAGTTCCAACACAGCCATTCCAAGCCAGACAGACAGACAGACTGAAAGCCTCAATGCCTTTTTGAGAATCATCTCACCACACTGACACCCACGAGCAGTTTTGGTACAGAGGTAAATATCCTTAGTAATACAAGGAAATCAGAAGAGAGAAATGCAAGCTGCAGATGCATCACTTGTCACAAACAAAGTCCTACCATGGGACCAGAGTGTCTTTCCTCAAGGCAGTAAAAGCAGACTTGCCTAGAACAGCTAAAACTCCAACACTGCTGGTGAAAAAAAATCTAGTTGTTGTTATTCTCTCAGAATTAATATCTGAAATTTCTTCTACGAACTCTACTCACAAAAGCATTCCTGAAAATGTGACACTTGGCTTTACACCTCATAAACAGCACCCAGCCATCAGCTCACTAAAGCAAGCCCCAGTGTGAGGACAGGCAGGGCCACCAGCACCTTGTCACACAGGGGGGACCCCCACAAGTCACCAGGAGCACACTGGCACAAGATGACCAACAAACACACTGTGACAATATGCTCTGAATTGAGACAAGTTTTGAGCACAAACCTGAGCTATTTTGACCCATATCTGCACATAAACCTGCATCCCATGCTTAAAATTTGAGAAAGCTTTCAACCAAGTTCCAGCAAGTCTGAGTCAGAACATAACTAAAGAGTAGTTTCATAGGGGAAAAATGCTTTCTACACATCTGTCCATTTTGGAGCCACATTTCAGCTACTTCCTTATGGAAGCCCTGGCAGAACTGGCAAATTCTCCAGATCACAGTCAGTGCAATAGCAGTGTTACTGTGCAACACAGTAACAGTCATTATCTTGCTTAGGCTGACTGGGAGAAGTTAGTTCCTACAATACACATTCCCCATGCCCTCAACTTGAAGGAGAAATTACTAATTTGAGTTTCAGCATGACTGATTAGAATTACATCACACACACTGCAGTGTCCTTTGAAAGATTATCCACAGCAAAGACAAATTTGATTGCATTGCTTTGGTTAATGAGTTGTGCTGTGGGGAAAGTTCCTGGAACTAGAAATCCTATGGCAGGAGTCACCATAAAAAATGATGACTTCCCCTCTGGAAATGCATTCTGTTAACATCTTTGGTTTTTAGTATTGGCCAGTGCTCCTCTTCCAGTCATTCAGACTGAAGAATACGCACTACCGCTCAATATTCAGATTTGTAATTCAACTTTCAGAGCATTTCTATTCCCCACTCAAGCAGATTCTTCACCACTTCCCACCCCTGTCTTAAACATTAGCAAAACTCTCTGCACAGCCACCCAGCAAACTGAAAAACAGAACTGTCCGAAAATAATAAAGATACTATTTTTAACCCAAATTAGTCTTGTTTCTAGATTTGTTTCTACAAACTCTACTGGGTTATCAATGGAGTGTAGCAGAACTGAGGAGATTTATGAAGCTTAAGTCACTGAATTTGTCACACCTAAAATTCCTGAAAATAAATCACAGCAGTACAGGAACAAAAAGAACAAAGAAACAAGGGATGAACGAGCAGTATTTCAGAGTCAGCAGACCATTAACACCAGAACAAATGCATACTGCAACATGAGGCCCAGAAAATGCCTGGAAATTTGCAATGTGGGTAGGCCTGGAGTAACACAGACTTCAAAGCAAGCAGGTCCACCCTGGGTAAATCATATCATGTGTATCTCAGAAAGGTTATAGTTACAAAAAGGTTCTCTGTGACCCTCAAAAGAGAGCACAAGCCCACACTCAGGCTGCCACAAGGTAACTGACATCTCCATGTTCCATCCTTGAAAACCATCATCTGATCATCCTTGGGAATAACACCACCACTGAGGGCAGAGGGGAGTAAAAAACAACATAAAAAAGATAAAAACTGTAATGATTGTTGAACATACCTGCTGTGGAGGGCGGAGTGGGGGATGATGGAGATGTTAAAGGAGAACTGGCCCCAGAGCCTGCTGAATAAAACAACAGTCAGGTAACTACAGCTGTGGCATGGCAGCTCAACACAGACAAGGCAGAGTGCTGGGAGCAGACCAAGTTTATTGACTGAAAATCCAGTCCTGCTTCCACATCTTGAGAAATGCACCCACTCATAGCAACAGTGGCTCTACAGTGCAGAGTATGAGAGAAGCCCCAAAGGCATAGGAAAGGCACCCAGCATTTCTCAGTGGGAAACATTTCTGCTGCTTAGGCTGTTGGGTACAGCACACAAATTCTGTTCACCCTAAGAGCTGTGCCAATGCATGGGTGGCACCCCATCTCCCCTAAGAGAGGATTTTCAGTCAGTGCTGTACTCCACAACAAGCTGCTTTTGGACACATTTTAGCCAAGCAAATCAACTCCGGTGATGTGTTTGATCCATAGTACCAACCACACCTTTTAACTAAATGAAAATTTGTCAAAGGCTCTGTTGTTTTGAAATTTGGCACTGAAGCAGCAATTTAGCACATAATTTTCTCATTCATCTTAACACCTTGCTATGTAACACAGATCACCAGAGAGTCTCCCTGAAGACTGCATTATTTGATGGCCCAAGTAATGGATGTTGTTGTTATTCAACTCAAATACCAAACAGAATGAAGAGACTGATCTTTTTTTGAGGAATGGGGCACAGAAGAGACATTACTTTAAATTTGGCAACTGAAAATATAACATCAACAATATTTTTAAGCCCTCCATTTACTTATTATTAAATACCCAAAACAGTGGTACCAGACTTTGTAAAGTGTTGGTAATCCCAAATCTTTCAGACAGAAGATGACAGGAATAACAGAAAAACTGACACAGCTGTGTAGGAGCAAATTCCCCTCTCTGTAGTTACCTGAGTTATTTGAGTTGCTGTATTTGGCTGAGTGTTCTTCCCCACTTTCATTGGCAGAACGTTTTGACTTCTTTAAAAGGGAGCAGAGGAAATGGAAGATAGGAATGAATAATCACTTTCTATGAAAGGTAAGGACTGAACTGACACACAGATCTGTAAAGGCCACCCATTATATCACACAATGCCTTTCAATGCTCAGCATCCCCTCCCCATAGCCAGCACACACTGATGTGGTCACAGGAGCTGCAAGGCTGCTCTGAGCTCAAACATCTCCAGGCAGGCCCCAGGGAGCTGCAGTGCCCTCTGACCATAAGGGAAAGGAAGGAAACTGGCACACAGACCCCTCCCAGGAAAGAGGAGGAACAGACAGTGCTGCAGGCTCCAACCCCTGCCCAGGAGTGGGACAGGGCAGAGCAGCTCCTCTGGGTCTGGGCTGCTGACCAGGACTGGGTTGTTCAGCAGCCTCAAACAGGCTGCACCATATGCAAGTCAGCTACCACTGTAATTTAAACATTTTAGTAAATCTATTCCTTAGTTAAAGAAGTGAAAACAACCAGGAAGTAGTGCAGAAAAACACAGGAAGGAGTAGAGTCATGTACATATGGCTAAACCTGTGCATGGTAAACATTACAAAAACAAACACATCTTTTTCTGTGGGAGAAACCTATTTAAAGATTGCTTACTTTTCGTGCCAAGATCTTCCTTTTCTTTTTTTCCTCTTCAGAGCCATGATGAGATTGAGCTCTTGTCAGCCTTCTGTGCTGGTGAATCTGCAAAATTAAAGAAAAAACAGAAAAAGACTATAGTAAGATCTCAAATGTTTGAAAACAATGTTTGAGCTACAAGAAAACACATTGTAGTCACTTTGTGAATGTTTGGATTCCCTTTCTCATTTCTAGTTTTTCCTTTACTGTTTCTGGTAGAGGATGGAGACTTGTACTGAAGTTAAAATGATCCTCTAACTTGGGAGCCACTACCTGTGAAACTGCAACTCTTAAAATAATGAAATGCCATACAGTCAACAGCTGTTATACAACTCCTGATATTGCACTTTTGGGAAAGCAAATCTGCTGGTGAAAATCTTTATTATTCAAAATCACTTTTGAGCGAAACTCACTTTCTGCATGTAAAAGTGATAAGGGGAAATTAAATGTCTGTAGGAAATGAAGAAATGTAGACATTACCAATTTCTGTTCCTCTGTTAATCGCTTTTCTATGCATTCCTTGGAGATTTTCAATGCTTCTTTTAGCTTAGTAGGAATCTAGTACAGAATGGGGAACAAAATTATAGCACAAAATGTGATAAAGGAAAGCACAACTTCAAAATCAAAATTCACCATTCATGTGATGACATTTCTCATCTAAAGCCCCAAGATATGACACTACTCCTTTAGTGAAGCAGAAAAGAAGACTAGATGAATGTTTTTCTACTCCAAATCTACCGACAGATCAGCAGGGACAAAGAAAACACCAAACCCTGGCAGTGATACTCTAAAAGCAAGGACAGATAACTACTTTGAGACTGCAGTCACACCCCCAAAATTCTCGGAGGCTGACAACACAAGACACAGGGCACAAATCCTCCAGGAGAAGCCCCTGGGGCAGCTCTCAGTGGGACCAGAAGGGGCCCCTGAGTGCTGGAGCTGGCAGCAAGGTGCTGAAGGTCTCAGGCAGCAGAACTGGCTCCCAGAGGTGCTGCTGTGACATGGCATCTCCTCTCACTGCAAGGGACCTGCAGGGCCCAGAGCCTCTGCTCAGACAGAGCAGCACCACCAGCCCCACAAATGGGCTCCAGCTCAGCAGCTGCCCCCAAACACCCCTGGGTCACATCCAAGGGGTGGCACAATGTTCTCATAGGGTGGCAAAGGAATCCAAACGCTGATGGCAGCAGCCAGAGGCAAATCAAACCAGATCTCCGCAACTCCTTCTGTCAATTAATATGTAGCTACCCACATCCTGGCACTTCCACAAACATCAGCAAATCAGTGTTCAACTCTACCTTGAACTGTGGTTTCTCAGAGTTTGTTAGCAGGACATCACTGAATAATCTGTAAGTTGATTAAAAAAAAAAAAAAAGAGGAATATTATTCCCAAGAGACAGGCAAAGCCAGAACAAGAATTCTATTGGTACTGTTCACTTAAACCCCTCTTTCTCCTTTTGCTTCTCTGTCCTCAACCCTTGGCCACAGATTTCTAGGTACTGCTTCTCATTTTCTAAGCACTGCTGTAAGATTAGCAGCACCCAACCCTCAGAATCTAGCCACTACTTATGGCTGAGAAAACTGGCTTGTGTGAGCTGTTTTGAAAGTGGATAGAACAGATACAGCTATCAAAGGCAGAGAAAGGTTCTCCCCAAAAGAGAATACCTTTTCCTCAAAAGATTATAGATTTTTTTATTTTAAAAAAAAATTCCATGGACTTTATTTTAAATTTCACCAAAACAAAATCATAGCTCTTGTTAAAAAAACTTCTCTTAGCAGAACCCTTGTCTTAGAATTAACAAGGAACATGTGAAAGATCAAGTGAACTTAACATTTGAAATATCTGAATTCTTGCCTGTCCTCTACAAAAGGCAATTAAAGCAAATATTGCAATATTTTCTCTCCCCTCTATGGTATCAGCAGAAACACAATAAATGATTAATCCTTTTCCATCCAAAACAAAGACACTAGAGGGCAATGGTAGTCTGAAAATAAACTGGTTAGCCCATTTCAAGATACTCTGTCCTGGAGAACATACTAGAAAATTGTCACAGAGAGACCTCAATCCTGGCTCCAAAATAAATATTTCTGAGTTGCTGTTCACTATGGAAAATTATCACAGGCTTATGGTAGAGAAAATGAATTCACATCTAGAATCAAGTTAATTCAGGAGAATGAAAAATTTAGAAACAAAGCAAATTTTAAAGTACTTCAAAAATCCATGAAAGTTCATCCTTGTTTACAGGACTTTCTGACCCTTTCAGATTACATGTTCTTATGGTTATAATAAACATATATTTCAATTATATTAATTACTTTAAATTACATTAATTGCATTGCATATCTATGTAGAAGACTTTTGTAAAGAGTATTGGTATGAAGGGAATGTAGTATAACATCTTCCATGTCAAATGCAGCTGGGCATAGATTGTTTATTCAACATCTTTAAACACCTGAATATTTCTGTATTCACAGAGTTTTCCTACAGTATTTCTACCCTGCTTGCATTGTTCTCTCTACCTCACACCATAAAAAGCAGAGGAGGGGAGGAGAAGAAGGAATTGAAGGCTGCAGTGACTCTTCCCAAGCAAGGAATCTGAACCTCAGAGCAGGCTCCAAATGCACTGCAATCTGTGCTGTGAGAGCAGACCCAGATTCAGGTATGGACAATCTGCCCCAGCTACAGCATCTCACACTGAGAAATAACAAAAGAACCTCCCACCAGAACTGTGGCTCCATGCTGAGCATGCTGGTGCCATGTCCCAGCGTGGGGACAGCAATTTCCCTGGAATGCTGTGCCCTAAGTGCAGGCAGGGTGGCACTGCAGGCTGGGGTGGTGCCACTCAGTGGCACAATGACAGTGCTCCCTTTCTGCATCCTGGCCTTGCCCCCCTGCACTGCATAACTGAAAGGGAGCCTGTAAGGAAATTTATTCTGTCTATGCTTCAGAGAATCCCCAAGCCAGCCCTGCAAGAAACCAGAGAGAAATCCATTCTACATTTCAGACCCAGAGCAGCTCTAAATGTCACTGCTGAGCAAAGCAAGAGACGTATTTCACCAGTCCTAAGTGAACTGAGAGCAGAACCTTCTGAAGTAGGTCTGAAGGCAACCTGCAAAAAGACTCCTTATTCTAAATAATTTAAATCAATCTGTACATGATCTCAATCATGCTTGCATTACTTTAATGGCTGGATTAATTCAAACCATGCTAAATAAAGTGCATAAGTAACAGCTCCAACACACCGAGGGACAAAGAAATGTTAAACACACATATTAACAAGGGATGGGTTCTGTAAAGTCTATCAAGCTTCACTTGGGATACATCCCTCAGAAGAAGGAGCAAACCTTTCTAAAGGGGAACAAGAGCAGAAAGTTTCTTCCTCCTGAAATAATTTAAAACATTTCTATGAGTATAAAACAAGTCGAGCAGGACTTACGGCATCTGTAAGAGCCGTGAGACAGTTGGCATCCCATTCTTCAGAGCTTCACAAGTCAGAATGGACTCCAACACTGACACTGCCAAAGAAAGAACAAGAATGAACACATTTTTGCACAGCAGGACAGCAAATGATTTAGAATGGATGTTTGGCACCGCTTTTTATGCTCCCCTAAGTATTGCATCAAGCAAGCAGTGATGAAGCTCTGTGGCACGTGGTTTTTATTATAGCATTACTATTACACATAGAAGCTTTTCAAGAATGTTAGACATGAGGCAAGGGAACCCAGGCATCTCATTACTTGCTAAACATTGCTTTGTCACTCAGCTAAAAATGTTTTACTCATGCACTAGATATATTTGACGAAGAACACATTTTCTATTTGACCAAATTGCTAATTCTTTCTGGGCACAGGGTGCAAAGACCTCAGGCTGCTATTTCACAGCCCTTCAGCTTAGGTGAAGTCTAAGAGTGCACCCAGGCAGCTGTGACTGAGATGTTCTGCACTGCATACTAACCAACAAACACTGATGGAGCAGGAGGGAAGCTCTCCACTGGAATGGTGTCTGGAGGTCTTCCATAGGTCATTTCATACAGTAAGTGTCCAAAGCAATGAACATCAACACCCTCTAAAGTCTGTGGGAGAGCAAAAAAATAAAACCACAACTCGTTAGTTTTTCACAACTGGTTAACCCAGTGATCTGGCATGTGAAGACAGAAAAGAGGAACCAGTAAGGCAGCTCCTAACCACAACCATTTCCCTGCATAACTGTAGCTCAGATGAAATCTTCATGCCACAAGCTACAGCAGCCTCTGCTGCCTTTCTGTACAAGATGGTACAAATGGGAGAGCAGTGTAGCCATGTTCTGTAAAAAGGTGTGAAGCAGTAAACTCTTCACAAAGCACTTTAGAGATCTACACACCAACAGAAGTCCCAACCAAGCACACTTTCCTGGCTAAGTCAAACAGCAAAGAATGAGATTCATAAAACAACCAGCTGTCACTTTACGGGGAAGTATATAAAAAGATGGGAAAAAATGCATACCAAACAAACCCAGGAGAGTCTCTTTTGCTCCTCCTTAGGTTTGTGTAAGCTGTACATACATGCTGAGCTCCCAGACAGCATATTTCCAAGATTTCTGAATCATGTTTAAACAGAAGAGGTTCCTCTTACTGTGAGAGGCTTTGATGGCACTAACAGATTTGGACTAACCATGAACTTGTGATCATTTCTTTGACAACACAGTAGAACTTGTTTAGCAAGGTCAGCAAGCAGCTCTCTCGTGATGCTGCACAGAATTTATTACAATGAGAGCCTAAAGGCAGGGAATGATGTTGCTGCAACAGGGCAAATCTGTTTTCATATCTTTGCAGTTAGATAAATATTTTGCTTTGCAAGCCTGCAGTCAAACAGACACCCCTCAAACAAATAAAAATAACCTTTTCTATTTGGATAGCTAGAATCTGCAAGCATCTGATCAATTTTCACAGTCCCCACCAAAGATAAGGCCGATTACTGCTCCCAGCTAAGCTAAGTAAGTAGCTGTGCTCACTGTACAGACACAGAAGTGAAACTGTAGTAGACAATATGCAAATTCCTATGAAATACAAACCCGGGTGAAAAGAGATCTTAAAACAATTGCACTTTACCTCTATTTGTGCTGGCACTGTTGTCATAAAAACACTCACCTGCACTCCCCCTCTACCTGCTCACCTTTGGCCTCAGCCTCACTCCAGTGTGCTGCAACAGAGCTGCTGTGCAGCCAGACAGGGATTTGGGGGAAGCAGAAAAGCAATTTGATGGAGCAAAGCTCAGATTAAAAAAAAAGGGGGCTTGAGAGAGGACTTTTCATTCTAGTCAGTTCTCCACAAACAAAGGTTGAGAACAAAGATTCGCATAAGAGTCAGATGAATTCCTTGTCTGAGCCTTACATTAATTTTCCGAAACTGGGAAAAGTACGATCGATAAAACGATGGGAGTCCCAACAAGGAATTTTCTAGATCCAGTAACTTGCAGGTATCCCCATCCAGCATCACATTGGCAGAGTGAAGATGGCCATAAGGAAATCCTTTCTCATGGAGGAATTTTAATACCTGAAAAAAATGGAATAGAGAAGACTATCACAAGATGCTCTGATGATCACAAGATTGTAAAATCATCAACTTAAATGCTCCAATACTAAATACATAATAAATAAGGCCCCCATTTGGAATGCTCACTCAACTTGATCTTCTATCTACATCCTCTTTGGCTGACTATTCCTTCCCATTTCACTGGTAACACTTTTCACAAAACAAATATTTGATGCTGATCCTCAAAGCAGGCTTATGGACACCTCCCAAAGAGATCTGGAAACTAAAATTTAAAATTCTACTGAATATGATGGTTTGAGTGAAAAAAAAATTAAAAACACACTAACAACCATGAATTTATGGTACATGTTCTGCAGGCTATGAGTTACTTCTTTCCCTTTTTACACAAGGAGCAGACTGTATTATCACTTCTCTCCCATTTAAGCTCCATGAATATCAACTGCATTTCTTGGGGGGGGTCATAAATGGTCTCACACAAATATATCTAAATTCAACTCAGCAGATCTCAATTTACATTTAGCCTTGAAGTCTGCTGCTGATATAAAGCTTGTGTACTCAGAAATTCATCCACTTTCTGTAGTTAGACCAGTTGGCCACCAAAATAATAAATTAAAAAAATGGGTAAATAAAGAAAAACAAATTACCTCTAATATTTGCCTTCCATATGTTTTTATTTGCTGAAGTTCAAGACCTTGAATTTTTTTAGGATTGCAATACTTCTTCAGGAATGGGTCTTTTGGCTTTGCCTTTAAAAGAAACACACAAATCAAGTACCATGCCCAAAAAAGTTATTACTTGTCTTAGCTTGCTTAGCAATTGATGGAAAACACTTTTATAAAAAACATGTATGGTCATTCCAGCATAAGTTGTGCCATTTGACTTGGGGGTAGGGGGAAGATGTTACCTTATAAATAAGGTCCTTTAGTGTCCCTTTTTCACTGAATGGTCTAATAACCAGCGCTGAAGATTCGTTGGCAGTGGCAAAAGTGATTTTGTAAATATAGGGATGCTACCAAAAGAAGAAACTGAAGGTAAATTTTAGATGATGGATTTTTTTAAAATCATTTGTGTTCAATTCATAAGAAAAGATCAGTCTGAATTGTATATTTAAAGTAGTAAATTGGATTCTGTCAGTGGCATGGAATAACTCAAGTTATTCAGTCTTAACCTGGAGTAAATGCAAAGAAAACTTCACAAAGACATTATTCAATTAACATATAAATTAAAAACAACAAAAAAAAAAATCAGCCAGTCTTTCACATGCTTAACATCCTTAAAAGAGACTCCAGAGACTCCTTTTGTAGTCAAATGCCAGTTTTTCAGGCAGAGATGTCTGCTGGATTTATAATGTGGCATTTCACAGGAGCTTAAATTGTAGACCCTGCACTGCAGCTCTACTAAGATGCTCCCACCTTGAGTCCAAAGAACTGAAAAAATAATGATACTTGTTCCACTGCCTCATCCACTGCTGCCTGAGAATATCCCAGCTCACAGGTTGGCAATTACACCTCACAGCACTATCCTAACAGCCTGAAGGTGTTGAGGAGATTAAATAAAAGCTCATGATCTCACAGTACTGCACAAGAAGAAAGAAATCAAATCAACCACAACACTGAATCTCCTGTAATAATCCTGCAGGATTATTACTTGTGCTGAGAACAGGTTACCTCATAGTATATGAGAAATGTAATTAAAAGGTTTGCAAACCTTTAATGAAAGCAACTCTAAAATTACAAACTATGCCAACTAGGCTACATGTGCTTTTCCAAGATCAGTTCTTGACACACACCTTCATGCTAGCACAATTTAAAAATCTTCAGTACTCACAGAACAGGAAGAAAGAAGTTTCACAGCATACTGTAAGTCTCTGTCAGACAAGTATTTATCAGGGCCAAGATCAGCCTGGAAGTAAACAGGAAAAGAATGGCATCATAATATACGTTGCATTCCATACAGAAAATGTGATCAATGTTCTACCCTGGCAAATCAGGACACATGTTTGAAGGCATATTTTGAAGAGCAAGCAAGAAAATTACACATACAAAATGAAACCTGAGGAGGCTGAGTAAGGCCATACAAACATCCTGACCATAAATAAGTATTACTGCCTCTTTCCTCCCACAGACCTGACATGCATTACTACCACTGAATGAACTTTGCCAACCCTAAACTGGGGGACTGTGTACATTAGGAACTGATAAGGCACCTCCTTCCTCTGCAGCAAGAAAAACTTCCCTCCTCCCACTAAAGCCTCCAGGCTTTGGTGACCTCCATGCTCCAGTGAAGTGTCACAAACAGCTGTGCTCATAGAACCAACAGGGCAACACATTTCAGCACAGGAGCAAGAGCAGCTCCCATTAAGGGAGTAATTCATGCCCTCCTCACCTATTAGTTTGTCAGTACAACTAAAGATCTGAGTAGGAAAACCCATGACTTTAAAAAGTTCATCTCATTATTTTTAGTGAGCACATTTATATTATGACCAACAGCCACATCATGACAAGTAAAGAATCCTGAGGTGCAGGTTTGGAAACAAGTGACCAGGCACAGAAACTTCCAAACTGGATTTGCCACCAGAGGAAAGAAATACAGGAAATTCCACACCACACATCTACCTAAGGGCTCCATCAAAGCCTGAGCTCTTCAATCTCTCTCCCCATCACTCACACATGATAGCCAAAAATCAAACTTTGAGTGAAATTGAGAAAGACTTAAGTATGAAATTAAAGCATAGATACCCAGCTTAACACTAGCCGTTCCTTTGGTTGATTCTTAATTTTCATTAGGAAATATTTCTTACGTATTCGCCAACCTAAAAAAAAAGTGAAGAAAAAAGTCAGCAGGGGCTTTAACTAAAGACAGCTAAATATCACACAGCTTACAGGCAGGACAAGGTCTGTAAGCAAAGACAGCATTGGAACCTCTCACAGTTGGGGAAACAATCAGAGAAGTTTTCATGCACACATCCCTTCTTACCTATATCTTTTAATGGTTCAACTACTTCCCACTTTGGCTCTGATCGGAAGAACATTGAAACATGCTGTAAGGCAATTTCTGGAAAGAAAAAAAGAAGACAGAGAGGGAGAAAAAGAAGAAAAAAATTTAATGTTTTTAACTCACTATGTAATGTAATTATCCATCTATGAAGTAAGGTCCAATGCCAGAAGGAAGCGTTCAGGAATTTAGACTAAAAGTCAGCAAAATCAATTTGAAAGGAAATCAGATAAAAACACAGAGGGCATTTGCATTTTTAACCTGATAACTCAAATCCAGAGAGAAAACAGAGAAAGCAGTGCTTGGAAAACTTGGCTTCCCAATCTCCATTCTGTCTGTACTGGATCTACATTTCCAAGTCTAAATCGCAGCTCAGATTTCCCACACTAGGTGTACACAACATTAGAACATCAAATGTTCCTGCTGCATCTGTAAAAGTGCTTTTATCTCTTTGACATCCATCTATGTTGCTAAGCATAGTTTATGTAAACTCATTAGTTGTGTTTCACTAAAGGTTATTGTGCCCTTTTCTGTGCAGGCAGAGGTATTTGGCCAGCTATCATGAGCCTCCATACATTTTGGGGGCCAAGGGGGAGGACACCCATCTGGTTGGTGAATTCTCCCACAGCTGGGAACACAACTGGTTTATTCATGAAGTGACTTGAGGGGAAATCTCAATGAGAAGTGGGGGGGAGAAAGGGAATCATGCCAAGGGAATCATGGCATAGAAACACAGCAAAAAGGTAAGGATGTGATGATCTCTCTGCATGGTATCTTCTTCCTTTAGAAATATGCTAGAAAAAAAAGTGTAATAAATATCATCTCTCTGCTCCAGTGTTTAGGAAATGAAAAACTGATGGTGTTTCTAAAGACCATAGGCAATGATGTGTGTCACCAGCTTCCCAGCAACTTGCAGAAAAACAATCTTGATGAAAGTGCTCAAAATTAACACAGAAATCACAACGCCTCCTTGAGAATTTAAACTGCTTGCTCAGCATTAGCCAGACAAACTGCATCCTTAAAGAGTCACTAATAATTTACAACGCCTGCACAGCTTATCATATTGGGAAATGTTCTTTGCACTTTGAAGCTGAAGACCCAATAATGTTACACAAAGAGAGAGAAAATAGACAAGTGAAAAGGAAACAGTGAGTTCCTGCTTCAGTAGGCTCTGCTTCTAAGAAAACAAGCTTTGCATTTTACAAAGAGTTGGTTTGCCTATGAACTAAATTTGTGGAGTGGGTTTCATCACTAAGAGGAAGTTTTTTCAATCTGTAAGACAAATATTTATTGATATCCAATGACTGAAGCTGAAGTAAGACAAATTCAAAGAAGAAACAGTTAGTAATGAAGAAACTGATCACTGGGATATCATTTTAAGGAATGCAGTGACTTTCCAGTATCTGTGGGAAGAGGGTATCTGGCTTAGTCTAGCCTTGAAAAAGTACTCAACCTAGCTCAAACAATTAGTTCTAAATTAGCTCGGACCTCAAAGCAAGGGCAGGAGCTGGACAAGATAACCACAATTCTTGAAAGATTCAGTGTTCAGATAATGGGCAGTTTTAACAAAACACTAAGCTAACAAACTTATCTCCACCTTACACTCTGACAGAAAAATTATCTCCCAAAAGCATCTCTTTGCATTTATTATGAATTATGAAAAGTAGATGTCACTCTCACCAACCCCCTCCTCCAGGTTCTGCACATACAGATCTTGACCCTCTTCACCCCTCTGTGAAATAACTCAAATATTTATATTTGACAATCCCAGCAGGATCCATGCACAGAGCTAGAGAAGCCTTATCATAAATAATCACATGCACAGTAGGATAATTTTGAAGATTATGATTCAGTGTAGATCCTGGCCAGCATTCACACAAGATACACAGCACACACTGAAGTCAAAGTGAAGCACAGTTTTGCATTTTGCACTTACCAGTGTAATTTACAGAATAGCTGTTTGGGTCCAAGAATTTCTTTACCAGTTCACAGTTGGACAGTATGTGATGGGTGGTAATTACATCCAGGTAGACCTGGAGGCCCTTCTGTCTTTCAGCAATGAATTCACGCTCCATATTTCCAATCAACTTTTTTGGAGGAAGAGGTAGACTTAGAGTTGAGATCTTAAAAAGAGAGCAAAAATTACTAACCTTGCTCTCAAACTAAAGGATATAAAACTAGCAATCCAGAAAGCAAAAGTTTCTCAGCAGCAAGCTAACTACTGGATAACTCTCTTTGTACTGTGTATGTACAAGCTTTTCTATTTTTCCTAAGCACTGTTATCAGAGTCAGATGACAGCTCACATCCCACTGTGAAGAGATTAGTAAATGGAACAACACTGAAAATACAAGGAGACAAATTTTTGCTAGTGAGTCATACATTTAAGATCACTACCCAAAACTTTCAGATATTAAATAGCTACAATTTTCAGCCAGGTTCTTTTCATGATGTACTTCTAGCAGAGCACAAAAACAATTCACACCTGATCATTTTTTCTGGGTAAGATTTATGCTTTCTTATTTCATCAAGTGCAGATTAGTAACTTTCATCTGCCTCTATGTATCTGTAGGTAATGTTAAGTCCGATTAGTATTTTAAATATGTAATTTCAAATATAGTGTAGATTTCCATTTTATCTTCTGAATTTGTTCCTGTACATTTTTTAAACATCTATACATCCTTCAACCCAGAAATAGCTGCAATCTACCAGGAGATGTACACTAATTGTATTATACTGACACAAGAGATCCAAAACTTAAGGGAAAAAAATCAGAGAAATCCTTCAAAATAGGACAATGAAAAAAAACTAAAAACCTTGTGTAACTCAGATCAAAGAGATGATCTTCAGTGTTTAGATTCAATTACGCCATGTGAATTGCCAGAATACATTTTGTGTGTTGTTAACACATCGTTGTCCTGCAGATCAAAGCACCTGCCCTGGGTAAGCTGAATCTCCCTGGGAGTTATCTTTGAGCATTGTGTGTTGCAGGAATCAATTACACCAGATGCAATAACCTCATTTCTAAAGCAAACAGTTCACCACGGGAGAAGACTGGGACTTCTGGTGTTTGAACAACTTTCATTTTAACTAGTGGAAAAAGTAACAGATTAGCTCAACAAACTGGGGTAGAAGGAGCATCCCCCTTCCTTTCCACCTCCTTCATTTGAACACAGGAGTTGTCCTCTGATAACTTTAGCACTTCTCCTACTTCTCGTTTTCTGACTTCAAATTATGGACTGGAAAAGAACTACAACTATGTCTGAATTACAGAAACTATTAATAAAAACCAGGAAAAAACTAAAAGCAACCATATATCACTTACAGCCAGTAATCCACCAAATTAGTTTTAGCACCAGAGGCAAACAGAACTCTCTTTTGGCAGATCACTCATTTCAATTAAAAACTGAGTTTCTAAACAAGAACTGAGTCCTTTTCTAGTATCATTCACTTAAAATGCATGTCAAATCATCACCTTTACCTAGACCTGACAGCTAGCTACCATCAGAGAGAAACCGACTCTAATTCACATGTTTTCCAACCACTATAATTTGTTTTAAAATTTATAAATCAAATTTCTACTATTTTTCAACAGAAAGTAACCTTCAGGCCCAGGTTTTTGCAGCTTTCTGCCAAAACACACAGCACAGCACAGCAAGAGCACTCGAGCACAGAAGAGCACCTCACTGAGGGCCTGACCTTGCAAAGACCTCACATGCCTTCAGACACCACTTCTCAGCTCACCACTGGAGCCAGGATGGGAAGAACCTGGGAATTAACATTCTTATCTTCAAACCACAGCCTGCTCAGGAATGTCTGTTCAAAAGCTGCAATAAAATGCTTCACAAAAGCCAGATATCTTGCTGTGAATTCCAGTACTTCCAGTACCAGCACTTCACTTGACAAAACAGAAGAATGATCTCCACTGATCTCTGTCAACTAAGTCAAGAGGAAGAAATGCAGAACTGACTGGGAGAAGCTTTTCAATCTGGTACAATTGAGAGTTCAGGGAACCTTTCTTGAAATTTTCTGATACAAATCAGAGTTACCTATCTATATTTCATTTTTTTTCCAAGCTGTTTGGCAGGACAGCATTCCCTAACCTAGACAATTTTTAAATTATCAATTCTTACTATGGGTAGTTCTAGATTAAGAACAGAAAATTTGCATCCCAACTCAACTGCAGCTGTGCTCAAACACATCCACACAAACAGAGAGATTAGTCAAGTATGCCACAAGAACTTGGAGAACTTGGGCTGTACACCCAAAAGAAGTTCCATCAGTTCTTCCAGCAGATCTTTAGCTTTGAAGGAAAAAGATTAGGGTTTGGTATCTTCTTATTTGTTTGGAGTTTTGTTTGCATACTCTAATTTAAATATACACAGGATGAGAGCTTAAAGAGTGTTGAAACATGTCATGGGACCTGAATACTGTGATGGAATATTGTTGTTTAGAGTTTTGGATGGAAACATCTGAGAAGTGTTGTGTTGTCTTAATGGATGAGGAAAGTTGAGCTTGGCCTGCTAATTTAGCCACCCTCTCATATCCTCCCATTAGAGGTACATTTTGATAATTCTTTTTAATGTTTTTAGTCATCCAAGCAGCTAACATTTTTGTCCTGGATCTTAGTCTCTCTTGTTTCAAATTTCCCTTTTGTCCCACTCTGCAAAGTTGTTGTCAGGTAATTCCCTGGACCCTCCACTTTTATCATTCACCTCTATTTCAGATAAAAAGGCTTTCCCTTTCTAAACTCCATCACACATAACCTATTTACATTCACGTAATAGATTTTCCACATAGGCCTAACTTTGCAGAACCTGTCATTTCTGGATTTTAAGTCTTAAAGCTCCATTGCCTTCTCTACTAAAGCTGCCTCATTTGAAAGGTAAATGAGAAGGCAACAAATCCTTTTCCTGCCTTAACACATTCTGTTCCCCATGGTTAAGAGCAACTTGTTATAGGTGGCTGCAAAGTGAACTCTTCCTTCTTTTTAAAACTTTTACAAATTTTTTTCCTCTGTATGACCCCAAGGTACTCTGATGACCAGTATCATCTCAACTCCTTGTGTTCCCATGGGTGTTCGTCTAATTTTAGATCGTGGATGTCTCTGGTGCAGGAGACACCTCTGTATTGCATTTGTTCAGCACATCACAGAGGAGGTTTCTAGGTCATGATAAAAGTTCCTACGTGCTACTGCACAGTTAACAGAATAATTCCACAAGGCAATAATAGGAGTAATTCCACATGGCAGCCAGGCTGCATCTGTTGAATTATGACTGATTTGCCCTGATCCACCTGCAGCAGAGGCAGCAGTCACAGTGGGCTCTCAGAGCACACAAATCAACTCCCTTGCAGGGTTTTGCTCACTGAGGTTCATCAAGCAGATAGTTGATTTGATTTGGGGAGGAGGGAGGAAGTGGGAGCAGTATTAAGGCCTTGAATTCATGAAATACTTAACAAGGGAAAAATTTTAAAGTCACAAAAATCTATCCTCAAATCATGTCATTCACTTTTTATCCTGTTTGCCCAGTATGGAAATCCCAAGTAAAGAGTTTGTCCCCTGTAGATGTTAATCACTGCTGCTTCCCCCCTGTTCCCAAACACACTCACACTTCTGCTTTTTCCCACACAAACTAAAAAGAAAGAATTGTCCTAAAAAGCAGAAGAAAACACACAGTAAGTCCAGTGTCTGACCAAGGAACACTCCTCAGTGACACAGAAAACCATCACATGAGAAGCAGCATCTGGTAGTGCTTTTAGAGGAATATAAATAATGAGACACATAGCACTTCAATGCTGAATTTATAAGGTTGTTATGTGCCTTGGCTTTCTCCAAATCAAAGGAGGAACAAATAAAAACACATAAAACCGGAACAAGTCACAGGACTGAAGGGAAAGATTCAGTATCTGCCAATTTTCTCCATTTCTATATAAATTGATCCTGTTGATGTTAATATTCAAATTTTACAAGAGAAAACCTAAGAGTGAATAAGTACACATTCATGTTACATTTGAAGTCACAGTTTCTCTTTACAGTTAGGCAAATTCTTTTCTTTTTTCACCACAATATATAAAAATATCATAATTCTGAATATATTCTTCTAATTACATTTTTTATTCATATATAAAGAGTGAAAATTACCTGCAGGCTATTATTCAACAAGTCAAAGTCACTATATCGCCTCACAATCTGTAAAATAAAATGCAAAGTTCAGGAAACAAATTACTTTTTCCATTAGAATTTTACTCCTGAAAATCCCATCAGAGAAAATTAATTCCCATTTACAATCATCTTCTTTTGCAATTTTTGTACAAATGCCTAACTGCTGGATTTATGACACATTGCCAGAGAGCAAAAAGGAGTCTTTAATCACAACTTGATCAGACAGAAAATGCATTTCTAAAAATTATCTTAAAACAGTACTTGTGAGCAAAGTTGTCTGCAAAAAAGGCATTTATGCCATATTAGATGGAAAAACTTTTCACACTCATCTTCATTACTACTGCTTGGTTTCATTGGGCTCATATAAGCAGAGCTGTGATTTCAGCACTGAGAAAGGCAAACTGGAATTTCAGATTTTAAAACTATGGTTGTACCAACACACAGTAGAAACACATGACAGGCATTTTTCCTGGAATATTCAGAATAGCAGCAGACAACATTGCCTTCTGTAGCTGGCAGCAATACTGTTTTTCTCTTAGTTTTGACCAAAAGAATTCAAGCACTTCATGTTCTCAATTTCAAATCAACATTTCTGTTTCCAGCTCAAATTTTAAAAGCTAGGAATAGGCAATTTTCAAACTTTTCCTAAAAAAAGAATCCTGTTTCCATGAACTACAACTTAAGAAATTACCTGCCAGCTGTTTTCTGTTGAAACTCCTCTCTGGACACGGATTATGTATTCCTAATAAAAGGAAAAAAATCATTAGAAATGAGAACTAATGAGTTGAAGAAAGTTATAAGGCACTTCTTCATATAAGACAACTAACATTCAAATGCAGAAAATTCAGATCCAGCACCTTGGGGAATGTCAGAGCTGGGTTTGCTCAGACCATCCCTAACAGTTGCTCTGCTTTGCCTTCCCAGCATAGAAGACAAGGAGAGCTCCAGGAGCTTGCACACTCAAGTGGTTTAATTTAATTTAGTTACAGAAAAGGACAGCAAATTGAAGATGCCACAAACCAAGACACATAACTGTTAGATTAGAACTGAAGTATCTATTTTCAGAAAGTCAGCCTGACACGGTCCCTCCATATTCTTTCCTCTTACCCATTTGAAATCACAATTTTGGTATCTTCCTGCAAAACAAGAACCCAAATCCTCATAACTAGTAACATAAATCCACAGAGCTGATAACATTTAGCCAGTGTAATTATCTTTGTAAACTGTGTGACAGAAATCAATTAATGGGACACCTGGAAACCCATATTCACCACTAACATGTTTTTTCTTGTTTTGTGGCCATTGCTGCATTTTGGGAAGAGGCTACTTCACACACAGGCAAAAAATTGCAGCAACTGCTTATTCATCAAGTCTCAAAGGAACATTGGCTGTTCCTCTGAAAAACCACACCAGTGATGATTCACCATGTGCAGTCATTCATCTTTTCTAGGATTTTGGAAGAAGCTGAGTTATTGCTCAATCTCTTGTAGCACTTGCTCTTTATCCAGTGATTGTCATTTTCTATTGAGCACCAAGAAAATGCTCCAAGAGAGGCAGAACACAAATTCATTAAACAGCCATCAAAGCATCTTTTTGCACACAACCACACTGGTCAACACAGCTCTTCTGGAGACCCTTATGATAAACAACTTGGGACACAGATCTTCTCACAGTAAGATTATACTTAAAAAAAAAAAAAACAACATATTTGGAGCACAACTATTTTTCCCCACACTTACTTGAGCATTTTCCCATCCCATCCATATCTGCTTTTGTGCTCTAATGCACCAATGAAGTTTCTTTTTAATGTCACAGGGTTTGCAAGTGGAAAGAGAAGAGCAAACACTCTCCAGGTGTGGCCATTAGCTCTGTCTGTAAGGAAGAGCTGTCCCCACCACAGGCTCTCCATCAGCACTGACCATAAAGAATTATTGTCCAACTCAGCACTACCCTGTCAATACAACTAAGGAAAAAGCCTAAATGGTCTTCTGAGTTGGTTGAGGGCCTTTTCCCCCAAAGCTGGTAATGAGATTGAAAGTCAAAGAACAGCAATAGTAGAAAGGCCAGGATAAGAAATATAATCCCATTCCCAGTATCTGCCACGGCTACACATAATCAGCAGAGCACAGGATGCTGAGCTCCAGTGAGAAGCTGACACTTCCTATTGCCTCTGTGTGGCAACAAGCTTGTCCTGGGATTATAATTAGCACCACTGATACATGCTTCCCATAGGACCAGAGAAGAGCTTTCAACTCTTCAAGTCCAAATGCACAAAAACCTTTATTTCTCTGCCAAATTCTGGTTTACTTAGGGAAAAAAATTGAATTACAAAAATCTTCTTCTGAGACAACCTGACAGTGGGACTGAGGCTGTGCCCATAGGAAATAAATGAAAGCATAAGGAAAACAGAGGTACACTCAGGATCATTTCTGTTTAGCAGCATCATCAAATGTAGGAAAACAGGGTGGAAAAAAGAAAAAGCTAGTAATTACCAGAGTTCACTCCTGCAAACAATTTTAGGCATCAGCAACCAGGCTGAGGGAGTCTATTTTAGCTACACTAATGTAGAAATTCCCATGGCATCTTTCACTCCTACATGAATAGCTCAGAATTTTTCCTATGGCTCAGTTTACCAAATAACTTCAAAGGAGCCCTAACAGCTGCTGGTTGGGAAAGAAAGGTTTCAGCTTGCAGCAGAGAGATGACCTGCGGCTCTGTTTGCCCATGGGCAGCAAGGTCACTGTCAGCAGGAGCCTCCAACAGGACAGGCCACAAAACCACTCCTAAAACACAAACCACACCTCCACAGAACCATTCCTAAAACACAAACCACACCTCCACAAAACCACTCCTAAAACACAAACCACACCTCCACAAAACCCCTCCTAAAACACCTTCCCTGCCCCCCCCACAGGTAAGGTTTGTACAGGTGAGGTTTGTAGATCCACTGCTCTTCCTGTCAGTATTGCCAAACCACTTCATGACACAACCTTGAAATTCCTGCAGCAGCTCAAAATACTTCTTAAAAGATGCCAAGCAAAGCAGTTTTACCTATGGGATCATTTCCTGGCTGCTCCAATTAGTCAAAAAAAGCTGAAATGGGTGCTGGGAAGAGGAGGTCAGGAGCAGGGAAAGATGTGTGACCCCTGTTGCACACTGTCATTTCCTAAAGTCTTCTTCCTAGTACTACAGAGCTCTGGATAGAGTTTCTGAAAAGGAATATTTTCCAAATAACCACATGGATCAGTGACAACCACACTACATTTCTCCAATCCTTTGCTGATAACAGTTTCACACTCACTGCGTGGGATTAATGTTATCCTGAACTTACCCATTTTCAGGCAGAGCCAAGATTTAGGTGGCTTGGTTTTTTGGGTTTTTTTCTCCCCAAAATTCATCAAGATTAGTCCCTAGTGTTCCAGCACTTATTAAAACACTATCAACAGCAACTCGGAGCTACTCAGCAAAATTTTGTTAACATTCCTGAGTGAAAATTGCAGAGCAAAGCACTCCAAATGTTTAACAATTGCTCTTTATCACCATTCCTGGTTTTTGAAACAGGAAGCAAACAGGAAAGAAGACTTTTGCAGAGACAAAATAGGAATAAAAAAGTGGTGAGTTAAGAGATTCTTATAATAAAATGTAGAGTCTCAACAATATTGGGAAATACATTCTGTTTCCCCAAGCAAATAGTCTAAATTTCCAGCTCAGGATAGTCAGTCTCTTTTTCCACAGATTTCTGCTTTACATCTGTTTAATCCAACAGGCCTGAAAAGCCAACCATTATAAAGATCCAGGTCACCTTCAGGTCACATCAACTAAAAGTTTGAAAGGGCTTTATTTTATAAGCATTAAAAAGAGGAAAGCCTAATTAAGCATGAATACAATCCCTGCTTAAGTAGGCTGGATTGGAACAATTTCTAGTAAGAAACTCTTTTAAATGTTTATTTAGAAAATCTCCCATGTGAAAAGCAGCAACAACATCAGGAGAGCTGCTCAGCCTCAGAGGCCTCTCTGTTACAGGGCCCAGCATTTATTTGCTATTGCTCAAGTGCCATTGAGCCCATCTGAGGTAGGAGCAGCAGCAGTGGTTGGTGTTTCTCCACTTTTAAACAATTCAGGTGTGTGTGTGTCTGCTGCACCATTCACACTCTGTATCCCTCTGTAGTAATGAGTCAGCCATTCAAGTGAAAGCTATGAACTAGGACAACTGCAGGGAAAAAATAGGACACACATCTACATGGAATGAAACTTAGTGAACATGAAAAGCTTTGGAGAGAGATGAGAAATCACAGATTTTCAGTGCTCTGCATCACTGTGACCTTCACCAGAAAGGCAAATTACTCACTGTTTTTCAGGAAATACTCAGTAGCCAACAAAAATATTCTAATTAGGGTTTACTAAAGTACAACATGGAAACTAGTATTTTGACTACAATGTTGACAGGACCTACAAATGCAATACTAATTTAGTAAGATCACCAGTGGAAACCGTAAGTTTGGAATATTTAAAATTAAGTGTGATGAAAGAGTCATCTTTTGTGAGCTCAGGCTGGAGAAGAGGTGGGAGGTAATCGAGTTTACTGACTAACTCCAGGGGAGGAACTGCATTTCTGAAACCTCAAACAAGTGAGCTAAGACAGTTCCCAGTGTAATGCCATGTCTATAAGTAATTTCATGTTTGTTTTTGTCCAAAGTGAATAAAGCCTTGAAAAGACTGAATTCCTTGTAAAGCAGATGTGCAAAATCTTTTACAAGCTTTTAAACTAAACCCTACAGTCCTAGAAATATGTGGCTCCATTTTTCCATTTGGAACAATAAAGGAAAAATATAAATGCTTTTTCAATGTTTTTCTAATCTAACAGCCATGAGTGCCAACATTCATCATTGCTTAAAGAAAACTAAAAACCCTGAAAGATTGTTAGGAGAGGGATTTATTTCAGCTGTTCATTTCCAAATGCCTTTAAGACAACAATGTATTGAATCAAAGCTGGCTGTTTCACTACTTCAATTTCAAAATATAAAACACATGAAAAAGGAAAATTACTTCAGAAGAATTGAGAAATGTTCAGAAGAACATGTACAACTCACCAGTAGTGTTAGTGCTGAACAGACTTGAAGGTAAAGTTCTTAATAAGGAAAATGTCAGATTTTCATGGAAGAAAATAGCATCCTATTTTAAGGCTTAGAAAGAAACCACTATTAAATGGTGAACACACAGATGAAATATTGCAATATGAGGCAAGTTTAACAGCCAAAATTTATTAAAGCTTTAGTGCTGAAATTGCCTCTGTTGTCAGAACACAACATTTGGCATCAAGATGAGACACTTGCAAATGGCTTAGTATACTGGATGTAATCCTGCTCCTATTGAAGTCCAGGAATGCAACAAAACTTCATTTTCTGCAGAAGGGAAGGGTTGGTACCCAGACCTACAACGGGACTGACTCACGGCTGTGGAAAGGTGCCCAGCACACCCCTGGGGTCACACAGTTACTCTCCCTGAGGCATCGCTGGTGGCTGAAGCATAAAAAGGAGACAAAATGAAACTGACTGGGCTTGCTCTTGTAATTTCAAATCCATTAGGTGAGATGCCACTGGAATGCACCTGCAATACGTTTTTTTTTTGCTTTCAAAATGAAAAGGGCTCCATAAACCCCATGCTATAGAGTTAATTGTATTTAAGTGCACGTTCCAACAAAACTCAGACTGTTTGTAACACACTTAACCAGGGAAACAACTTCTACAAACATAGAAAGGGATCATTTTCCTCCTCCAATTATGATTGGAAATAAATACACAGAAAGAAAACCTCAGTGAAGAATTTCTTTGTTGCAATGCAAAACCATGGAGATTATGTTCCAGCTCAGATGTTCTAAGTCCAGTAAGAACTCCTGAGCTCTCCGACTCGAACGAAGCTTGCTGAGCCTGTGAGCCTATCAGATAATGGGGAAGTTGGCTCCCTAACAATCTAAAAACCCATTTATGGGGGGGATTGACACACTCTTACTAAGCAAAAAGTGCAAATCCTCAAAAGTTCATTTTCAATAGTAGCTCTTAACCCCTTCTGAGGTTTCTTGAGAATTCAGGTAAGAACATAATGGTCTCAGGTTTTGTTTTCAGTTTTGTTTCTTTTAGTTTCACCTTCAGCCTCAGGAAACAGAAACTCAGCCTCTGCCAAGTACAGCCCTTGACTCAATGCTATGAAGTTTACACTTACCCAGTCTGTTGTACTAAATTTAAATTAACAGAAACTGCTTAGAACAATACACAAGCAAACTATTCATTAGACACAAGCTTTGGTCTTCTGTGTGATATTTCACCATGTCTACAGAGCTTTTCCTGAAATTCTTCACCTTTTCCTTAGCTGTTTTTTCAGAAGACTGGCTATTTTCAGCACCAACAGAAGGTTTACATAATTAGTAGTTCAGTTGCCATGTTAAAGTTGCACCTAAACTCAGCCTAAGCCATCTTCATATGAGTGCTTTTAGAAGCTATGATCTACAGGAAAAAAAATACAAACCCAAGTTTAAAACAACTCTTTCAACACTAAACAACATTTTAAAATCTTAATATATAATGCTGACAAAAGAATAAAAAAAAATTCATGGCTGCCTTTGCTTTAGAACAGGCCTAGTTCTCCAAACATTAGTTTGGGATAAAGGATTTTATAGATCTACATCTTCTGAAGATACCACTTTAGGTGGAATGAAGAACAAAACTGAAAAGCATTCATTTAATGACAATCTATTTTCTTCTAGTTATAATTTAACAAGGTAAAATACAGTTTTCAGGCCTCACACAAACACTTCAACCCTTATTTCTTAGAAGGGCTTCATTTACACACTTCTGGAGAGACAAGGATTTATTTCTGCAGCTTATTTTGAACCAGGAAAGTTCAAATCAGGGACAGCATCACCCACCAATAAACAAGCTATTCACGCACCAGGGACATAAGATGAAGTATCTGAAATGACAGAATAGTCCACTTACATCAAATAAGAAACCAAGTCTCTGCTAATGGCTTCCTGTATTTTGTTATCCCACACTGGCTCTGTATAAACCATCTGCGCTACACACACTTCAAGCCATCTTTCAGCTATCAACAGGGCTTCTGCAGTACAACAAACAATTACTAATAGATGTATCTTAGAGACAGATTTTAACTCAAAAGGCACGGTGCTCCAGCATTCTGTTATTAAGAAAAGATCAGAAGAAAACAGCAGAGAATTTTCCTGCACAACTGTTAGTAACAGAATAGAGAGATGAAAGACAGGGCTATCACACTCCCTCACACAAGATGACACAAGGAGAGTCTGGATTGCAAAAATTCTTCCAAGTGATCATTCTAAAAGAATCTTGTGACTTTTCCAACCAGAACCATGCAAACCAAAGGAAAGAACACAAAACACTGTTGTCATTTGCACTAAGGAAAAAGCATAATAAGGAAACAAGCTACTAACGAAACATAATCTGGTCTGCTGGGGAGTATTAGGAGTTACACAACTTCTCACAGGACTTGGCACACCCATCCTTCAGCTATTGAATCAGGTAAAAAGCATCACACTTGCCAGGAAATAAACCTCTTTAGTCTTACTTATAAGAAGAGGAGTTGCACCAATTGAGACCCACAGCCTGTTGGATTCACAAGACCTCCTAGACAATTTCTCATAGAACTTCTGTTCAGAGAAAGACTGGAACGTCAATAAATGTGAGTTCCTCAGACAAAAAATAAACCACTTCTTGGTGTGAATTATTTATATGAAGAGTATGTAATAAGACAGTCTGTAAATTAGTGTATACCCCATGGTGAACCCGCAGTTATTGTTGTTCAGGTTAAGGGTATGCAACAGATGCAGGGAACCAGGAAGCAATCCACAATGCAGGCATCAGAGCTGGGTAAGGGACATAAGGAAACCCTCTCTCCATTCAAAGCAAGCTTCCCACTGGAGTACCTGCTGCTGAGCTACCTCTGGCCTCCTCTCCAGCATCCCTGCTCTCAGCTCATTACAGCCAGTTCTCTGATTCATGTTACTGCTTGGTCATACTATAATGAAGCCCGGTTTTCAAAGTGGAAAATAACTGCAAACAGGACATTGTAGAATTTGGATTATTGCTGCATGCTGAAAGACAGTTCTTATGGAAGCACTGTGCATGTGTCCTAGGCATCCCTAAAGAATTAATCCGTGACACCCAAGTCACGGCAGGGTTTGTTCTGCTGAGTGCCACCGCTCCCCGAGCTGAGAACCGGGGCTGGGGCTGCGGGGTCCCTGCGGTTCGCAGCCGCCGCTCGGCCCCACGGCAGGACCCGGAGGCGAATGCAGCCCGTTCACGTGTAACTCCATCACCGCCACCGGAACGCGGCGGGCAGAGCCCATCCCTGCTCCGCGGGCTGCACACCCCGAGAGCAGCAGGAATCACAGGAACGCACAGGCCCGCTCGGAGCGGCCGCGGGGCAGCCGAACCCCGCAGCGGCCGCCCCCGCAGAGCCCCCCGCTCCCTGCCGGGGGTGCTGCCGGCTGTCCCCGGGAGCCCCGTGGGCAGAGAGGGGCCGAAGGAGCCGAACGAGCAGCGGCACCGCCGCTCCCCACCGCGGGGCTCCGGGGCGCTGGGACCCGCGCCGCCTCCCGCCCCGCTCCCGCTCGCCCCCAGCGCACCCCGCAGTGCCCCGCCGCAGCCACCGCCTCCCGCCACCCCCGGCCCCGCAGCCGCGGGCTCGGCTCCGGCCCCCGCCCAGCCCCGCTCCCGCCGTGCCCCGGCCGGCACCGCGCACCCCGAGCACCCCCCGGTGCCCCCGGTACCGGCTCCCTCCATTCCCTCCCCCGCCCCGGCCGCTCCCGCCTGCCCCCGCGGCCCGGCCTGCCCCGCTCACCGTGTGCGAGTGCAGGCTCTGGCTCGCCTCGATCTGCGCTGTCAGCGGCACCGTGTCGTCCAGCAGCACCTTGCCGGCCGGCGGCTTCTCCATGAAGGCCATAGCGGAGCTGGGAGCGGAGAACCGGCGCCGCCAACTCGCTTCCCGGGGCAGCTCCCGGCGCGGCCGCCGCTGTCAACACGGCAGCGCCGCCGCCGCCGCGGGGCCTTAGCGCCGCCGCTGCCACCGCCCGCCGCAAGGGGGCGCCGCGGGCGCCGCTCCGCGCGGGTCCCGCCCCGGGAGCGCGGGACAGGGAGAGACGGGGACAGGGAGAGACGGGGGACAGGGAGAGACGGGGGACACGGAGAGACGGGGACAGGGAGAGACGGGGACACGGAGAGACGGGGACAGGGAGAGACGGGGGACACGGAGAGACGGGGACAGGGAGAGATGGGGACACGGAGAGACGGGGACAGGGAGAGACGGGGGACACGGAGAGACGGGGACAGGGAGAGACGGGGACAGGGAGAGACGGGGACAGGGAGAGATGGGGACACGGAGAGACGGGGGACAGGGAGAGACGGGGACAGGGAGAGACGGGGGACACGGAGAGATGGGGACAGGGAGAGACGGGGGACAGGGAGAGATTGAGGACATGGGCGAGAGGAGGGACACGGAGAGACGGGGACAGGGAGGGATAGGGGACACGGAGAGACGGGGACAGGGAGGGATAGGGGACACGGAGAGACGGGAGACACGGGCGGGGATGGGGAACAGGACGGGATGGGGACACGAGGAGGTTCGTCCCCACGGGGTTGGAAAGGGGCTGGAGGGGAGGCCATGAGTGCAGGCTGGTCACCCCGCCACCCAAGCCTCCCGTGCCTGGTGCCCCCGGTAGCACCGACAGCAGCAACAGCAGCTGCAGCCCCGGGGGAATCAGCCCCGAGACACTGCTGGTCCTCCCAAAGAGACCAGGAAAATTATAAGGGCACTTGCTGCTCTTTACCTCTCAGGGGGTTTTGTGTTAATAAAATAATCAGAATATACTGTATATTTTACTCGATTCCTAGAATATAGGCTTTGGAGTTGATCTTTTTTGTGGTTTTGGTTTCTGGTTTGGTTGTTTTTCAGAATACAGATTTAAAGTTGTTAACAATTGAATTCCTCAATGTGACTTTTGATTGCAGCAGCATGAGAAACTTTCTATTTGAATACTGCTTAGTGCTTGAGAACCTACAAGTTGGGCACCTGTCTGCATTTCCTCTTTTTACACCATACACAGGAATTACTCTCACTTAAGATGTTGTAAGAGTGCAGAGCTGGGGTTTGTCATACACCTGGAGCAGGTGTCATGAACAGCTTCATCTCTCTGTCTTGCAGCTCCATGATGAGGGGAAAATGGGCTGTGTTGCTGTGGTTCAGCAGCCAGGCTGGAACAGCAACCCCAACTCCCCAAACTACTGCTCCTGCAGTGACCCAGGAGGTCAGGCACAGATCTGATTCATTTTGTTAACAGGCATTAACAAGACAACTTCCACTTGGAGAGGCAGGGGAAGGAGGGGCCTGCTTGGATGAAGTGCTTTGTCCAGCAAAAGCCAGTGACAGGCAGTGACCTCAGGCAGAAGGAAAGGAAACTTGAAGTGAAACAGCTCCTAGAGAGAAGAGATAAGGAAACCTCTTCCTAATTACTGCTTCCAGGTTGCACACAGGCCAAACTCCAAGCTTTGGAAAGAGAAGGCATGGAGTCAAACACCTGACACATCACCCCTCCCTCTGCTCCAGTAACTAACAGCTGGGGTTAGAGTGCAGCACACTCTGGCAGGGCAGCTGTTTTATCAATAGCTTTCACCACAGGCTGAGGAGAAACTCTCTTTTCTTAGCAGACAACTCCTGAGGTTATTTGCAGCCAAGGAAAGTTTCAAATGCATTTCTGCTGCAGAGAAGACAGGGGGATAACAGACACTTTGCCAGGAAGTTATGTGAGCCACCAACTGGAGGCCTGAGTCCTGATGGCCTCAATCCTTCCTAAAAGAAGTTCCTTAGTGTATAACAATCTTATGCCAGTACTAAAATAATTTAACCCAGATGATTTACTAATGAATTTGCCAGAAGTCTACTCTACCAAGGTACTTTCAGTGGACAAAGGGAAATCCATGTTCACACATTTAAGCAAAGAGAGAGAAGCCATACAGTTAGTACTCAAATCATCTATCTGCCCTTGTTTGCCTTGCCCTCAGGAGCACAAATACAGTCAGTACAAGTTGTGACAATATATTTTTTTAAAGCCTTCTTCACTCTCTTTCTGGGAGGCAAGTTTCAGAAGAAGCACAAGCTGGAGCTGCCATGCAGATTACAACACATCTTGCAGTACATGAGTGTCAGCACCTCCACTTCTGTTTCTTTTGAACACAGCACTGTCCCCTCCTCGGTGCTTGTTGGCAGTACAGCTGCTTTGTACAGAGGGAACAAGTTTCAACTGAACTTTGCTGGTGTGGACTGCAATTTTACCAGAAAGAACAGCCTCAGTGTGAGCCCCACCAGTCCAAACTTCCCACTGTGGCAGCACAAAGGCTTGTCTGAATGTGCCACTTTGTCACAGCAAGTGCCTGGTTCACCTTGGCAGAGAAACCCATCATGGTGAAAAAAGGAAAAGCTCTAATTTCAATGCAGTTGTAGTTAAGTTTGTGCACTTTCAGACATTTTGAAAGGCTTTTGTTGCAAATTTACTGGTTTTGTGATTTCACATAAAAAGAGACTCAAAACTAAGTGTACATTGGTTGTGGCTGAAGTTGCACATGATGAACAGCTCTAACTCTCTGGCACCATGACTTTCACCATCCCTTCCATAACAGTTTTCCCACCTTCCCTGACCTGACACGATACAGAAATGTGTGCAACAGAACCCTTCAGTCGTTTCACTTCTGCTGCAGCTGTGACTTCTTCACCAACATACAAAGGAGCTGGAAAACGAATCTCCTGGGAGAGAAATATACATCCTTGACCAGGCATTTTGGTGCCCAGAACTGCAGAAATAAGTCCATTGATCAGAACTCCATGGACAACGGTTCTCCCAAACCTAGACTTCTTTGCAAATTCTTCATTTAAATGCAAAGGATTTGTGTCACCTGTTAAATAAGAAAAAGTAACTACATCATTCTGTGTAAAAGCCTTGCTAAGTTCAGCTTTGTCTCCAACTTTTACGTGTAAGTTCTGAAATGCAGGATGTCCAAGCAGTGTGTTGATAAACATTGGCTTTGTCAAGGCTCTTTGTTGGAAAATCCCTCCAGAAATTCCATGCCTGAAGGGCCACAACATTTCCAGGAACTTCTCCTGCATGCAGCTGAACCATCAATTGCCTTCAGTCCAAGACTAATTCTCTACTGTTGCCAGATAACGCAAGCAGAAACGGAGATGTCTGGTTTGGGGAAAGAAAAAACAAACAAAACTGAACAACTAAAGCCTTAAAAAAATCCACCATCAAATGCTCTCAGAGTCGAAAATACTTCAATTTTCCTTTCACATGACAGATTAAAAACTTAGAGTTATGCCTGAGCAGACTTTTGTCTACCCATTGCTTCAGAAACAAAGAATTCTCAGAACTCATTTTATTAAGCAGCATCCTCTGGAAAAAAATAAGCTCTGGAAATGCATGTTAAACAAGGTCAGTTGACAATAACCATTAGAAAGGTGGAAAGTGGAGTAGGGAAAATAAAACCTGGATCAAGATGTCGGTCATGAACAGCACTTGCCAGAAATTATTTTCTTGCAGATGTATTAATGACATCAGGACTTGTCACTGGAGTGAAATCATGAAGTTATGAGACAGCCACTACTGTCACATTGTACAAGACTCATTTTAAGATGAGAACTGCTCAACCAGGGGCCCACAGACCTGCACTGAAAGGCACATCATTCCCAAAGCAAGGCAGTTTGGCATCTAGGCCATCTTTCTATGAAAAGGCAGCAGGCTGAGGCAGCCTGCCAAGCTTGGAGCCAGAGCTGACAGCTGGGGGAAGGCACCCAGCCCCACAGGGCTTTACCTGCAGCACCCGGAAGGCACACCTCCTGTTCTGGTAGAAGCCCAGCAAGGTGAGAGCACTCCACAGCTTGACAAGGCCACTAGATAAAAAGAAAACAAAATATATTAATGAAATTTGAGGTTTTCTGTTTTCCTGCAGCATAGACATCTCAAATAGAAAGTATGTTATGCAAAGTGTAACAAACACTTAACAGTTCAACAGCAGGTAATTTCAGTAAAGTAGCAAAACTGCATCTTGAAGGATTACTGCAGTGGCTGCAGTCTCTTGTCTTTGACACAGACTTATGTACTGCAACCTAAAGTTCACTTTACCAGAACTGTTCTTGTTCTCAGTGGGCATTTAAGTTCATTCTTCACCCAAATCACTTGCAGTTGTCATCACCATTTAGAGTAACCGTTCTCATCTTTACTATAGAAAGAGATTTAAAGTCACTACCTCAGCAATGCTTACTTCCTGCCTTAAAACCATTAAAATCATTCTGGTTTAAAGCAGGAATAATGTACTGATGCACAAAGTTACCAAGACTCAGTAATTATTTTCTGTATGCTGTATGCAAATATCTGCAGGTTAGGCTTAATTCTTCACCGGTCATTCTTAGTTTAAGAGTTCTATTTTATTACAAAAAATATTTTCATGGCATGGAAGCACTGACTGACTGCACCTTACCTGCTAATGACTCTTAATATGGCAGACAGAGTTTTTTCCTCATAGGTTAAGACATCAACAGGCAAAGCTGCTCCAACCTATGAAAACAAATGTTACTTAGTAAGTATCACCCTATGTTCTTATCGTGGTTTATAAGCAACTGATTTCACCCTCAGCATGTTACATCATTAAAGGTGTTATAGTTACACTCAAATTTCACACAAGTGTTTCAGTCACATTACTGGATATTAAACAGCACCCTTCCTCTCAGAGGTCTTTAGAAACCCCTTTTATTTCCACATTACAGCCAAGAGGTGATGTGACCTGCCTAAAGTCAGCCAGCAATAGAGTAAACAGAGCAAAACCAATGCTGTGGACTTTCCCATCCAAAAGCTGTTCCATTCCCACAGTTCTCTTTTTAAAGCCTCTCTCCAGCAAAAGCATCAATACCACAAATTCTAAAAACAATTCTCAAAGAGTGGTTTGAGCTGGAAGGGACCTTACAGAGTTCCCCCAGCTCCAGCCCGGCTGCCGGGTCAGAGGCACCTTCCACTGGAGCAGGCTGCCAGGGATGGCTGCGGGCACCGAACCGAACCGCACAGCTCCACCGGCAACGAGTCGGGAGGGCTGGCTGCTAACCGGGTACCGGCGGGTCAAACCCGGCCCATCCACCCCTGGGCTGTTCCAGGACACAGCACCCCGCTCCCGCAAGGCTCTCCCGGCCCGGGCCGGAGCCGCAGTCCCGGTACCGGTGCCGGTCCCACCTCTCCGTGCAGCTCCCTCAGCGCCGTCACCACGAGCTGCTTGAACTGCGCGGCGTTCGGCCGGGCCCCGCCGTCGGGTAGCTCCCTGCGGGAAGGAGAGCACAGGGGTCAGGAGGGGCCAGGAGGGCTCTGAGGGGGGCTCGGGGATCCCGGCTCGGGGGGCGGTCCCGGTTCGGAGGGTCCCGGTATCATGGGTGCCGCTCACAGGCGCACGCGCAGATAGTGATGCTCGGCCACGCTCCGCAGCACGCGCCGCTCGAACGCGGCCTCCGCCATTCCCGGCCCCGCCGGGCCGCGCGCGCCGCCCGCCCGCCCCTTCTACGGCGGCCGCGCGGGGTCACTGTCGCCATGGAAACCTCGCGGCGCCTCCGGTGTCGCCGTGGCCCGGCCCAGGCCCGCAGCCGTGTCCGCGGCACCAAAAGCAGCCCTGCGGACGGAGGAGAGCCAGAGCGGTGTCTGAAGCTGAGACGAATCTCTGGGAAGCGGCGGGAACAGACCAAGAGCGGCATGCAAACCTTTAGCTTCGCGAAGGCAAACACGGAGCGCCGCAGCACAAACACACCCCTGCAGGCGGGCACGGAAACGCGGCTGCGCTGGGCCCCCGAGCTAAGGGGCTGTTCCCGAGACAACTTCTGGGAAAGTTTACAGACACTGAGGAGACTCTGCTGCCCCAGACTCAGATTTGCAGGGACACACAGCTGAAAGGAATTGGAAAGCGCACAGAACGATCCTGGCAGCCTGTCTGCACTCACCAGTCAACAGCTAATTGAGATGATAAAATAACACAATTTTAGTAACTTGTACCTGTTCTAAAGATTGCCATTAAATGTATCCTTACCACAGAAACAGCAGAAAGGATGGAAGTACCTTTGCTCTGCTGAAATAATTAAACATTATCCTCAAAAAAACCTCACAGAATCGTCCTTCTTTTACCAGAAGGTTTATCCAGGAATTAGCATCCACCCCAGCAGGGTAACACTGCAGAGCAGCCCAATGTACATCCAGCAGCCTTGAGTCAAGGCCCAGCTCACAGAACACCTTTTGCCTGCACCGTCACATGGCTCAGTCTGTGCAAAAGTCCTCATTATTCCAGCAGAGCTTTCTCAAGCTTAACACCACAATCCACCTGAGCTTCGCTCCTGGACTGACTTAAAAATGGTACATAAGCTGTACCAAACGTACCAAACTCTGCCAAACATTCAGAAACAAAACTTCAGCAAAAGCAAATATAATTTCACACGTACCAAAGTAATTTTTGGATTGTTAGTTAAGTTAAAGAAAAGGCAGTGTGCCACGTAAAGTTCAGTAGCTGTACGTGTAGGCTAACAAGATACCTTCAGGAATACTGTGTTTCTCCTGGGAACTGAGCACCAGTTAGTGTAGTGCTCAATAAATCAGTTCCACAATAATTTGGCAGACTTACCAGAGCAGCCAGTTTAATGGGACCAACACTACCTACAGTAGTTTGTATTACTTTTAAGATATTAGTAAAATTTCATCACCAAGCAGCAAAACTTGGAGGTCAGGTGCTGTATAAAATGTACTTTTGTTACTGCAGTGGGGCAGGTGCTGCAAGAGGAACTCACTCAGGCACTCCCAGCGCATCCAGGGAGCTGCTGGAAGGCTGGGGCTGTGTCAGCTGCAGCGAGTCAATAACGAGCACACACAGGACTGTACAGGAAGGCTGGACACAACAGGTCAGTTTTTTATTAACCAAAAGTGAAGCTGAACCCCAGAGTGGTTTACTTGTTAAAACCATATGTTTATATGGCAGATATTTTTCTTTCATGTTCAACACTACAGTGCAAGAATCAAACTTCGCAGCTGTTCATCCTTTGAGAATCAAGTAGTAAAATGAATTAAAATAAGGGTCCCTCAATGAATCAATTAAAAAAAACTCATTTAACTCAAAAGAACAGACCAATTTTAAGAACTGTCTTATTAAATTCTCCCAAGTGAAAGACCTTTAAAAGCACTTGGAGCCTTGAGGTAGCAACTTTATGCAGAATTTAATTCCCCTCCTGCCCCACAGAGGAAAATTAGTAGCGCATCATTAGCTCCAGCCAGCTAAGCTGTGTTGAGTGTCTCCTGTGAGGTGACTTTCTCTTGCCTCTTGAAAGAGCAGTGTAGTGCTGCAGAGCACCAGGAGGAAATCCACAGGGAAGGCCTCTTGAATTAAAATTTATGGTTTGAAAGAAGTTGAAATGATCAGCAACGACTGTAACAACAAAAATTATCTGAAGTGAAAAAACCCAACGTGTATTTTGGCAAGACTAGTTTACAAATACAAGTCAAGAACAAGAGTCTGCTTTCAGCAAAAGAAAGGAAGAATGGAAGTGACATTCAAAGGAGTTTCAGGGTTTTTTTGCCCTCTGTGCAAAATTGCACTTTGTTTTCAAAGTTTTATTTTAAGTTCTGCACTTTTGTTTCTAAGAAGGGAGCACTTCCACACTTTTTTGTTCTTTTACATTGTTAAACCTGTGCTGTGACATTAGACAGAAATACCAAGTGCCAGGATATTTAACCACTGAAAGCTCCTCTCACTGACTTCACAACAATCACAAGCAGGGAATCACAAACAGGAGATGTCTTCCTCTAAGCCTCAAAATCGTGATCCTCTGTGCCCACTTTGCTGCTGAGTTGTTTCATTAAAAACTAATCTCTCTTCACTGCCAATTTCAGAGACTCAGTGGCAGATTTACTGAACACTGAGTGGTAACAAAACACCTGGGCTTACAACACTGCAACAACTGCAATGAACAGAGTGCAAAGGAACGAGCTGAGATACAGGGGTGGGGCAGATGGTCACTAACAGGTGCTGTACTTGCTCCCTGGACTCAGTATCAGCACTTGCACATCGCTCACTGCTGGTGCTCTAACCAGATTCCTGGCAATATTGAGTATCTTACTAAAGAAGCTTTCTTTCCACTACCTTCATGCTCCAAACCCGTGCAAACAGGTTGGTTAAACCAGACCAAACTAATCAGGCACATTGCACATTATAGCTCTTAAATGGATGAGCCTTCTTAGCAGCTCATTTTCTTTCAGCTCAAAGCCAGCTGCCTCTCTACAGCACAGAATGATGCTGCACAGAGCCTGGGTGCAGGATGGCACTGCCCAGTTTGCCATTGCTCCAGGGAGCCCAGAGAAAGGTAAAACTTCAAAAGCTTGTTCTTGTTCACATGGGATCCCAATACTTTGATTTTATATTCTTGTCTTTTCCTTTGACTTTCAGAAGCCATCAAATTCTGCCTTCGAGGCAGAAACATCTCAAGAATCTGAGATCAGCCTTGCCTGGGTTTTGGTTAAGCTTTGGAGCAACTGCCAGTGTTTGCCTGTGCTGAGGTTACAGCCCTGTCCTGCACAGAAACAAAGGCATTACAGAACCCATCTGTAAGGCAGCCCCACCTGCCAGGCTCCTCTGGATAAAGGAGAGGACATTCTGCCTGGGAGCAGCAAAGGCCAGCTGGTGATTAATCACAGCAAGTTTCTCTTTAGCTCACATGACAGTTTAGGCAACACAGAAATTCAGGCTGGTTTAGAGACCAGTTCCTGTTTGGTTCACAGCACAGTCATGAGCTGGCTCCAGAAACTCTCTTTGTCATGGAGCCCAAAGTATCTTAAAGTTATATCTGCTATCACTGCAAGGAGCTGATGAGTTGTTTGGGGTTTTTCTCCTTCTTTTTTTTTGTTGGTTTGGTTTGGGTTTTGTTCGATTTTTTAAATTCTGTGATGAAAATAATTATTTTTGTCTTTGGTGTTAAACCTTGGAAGCATGAGTGAAGAGTACCTGCTGCTTCTTTGGCTGTAACTTATGACAAAAAACAGCCCAGGAAAGCAAGTGAAATTCACTGTTCTAAAATACATGCAGTTAGAACAGCCACTAGACATCACGACCAGAACTTTAATAATATGGAAACACCAAATTCAGTGGTGTCCATTACAAATCATTTGCATTATATAAAAATATGACTGCAATTACAGTAACTGGACAACAGTCATTCAAATTTATCAACTTTCCATCTTACTCATATTGCAGGAAATGGGAGGAGCTCATCCACTGTAGGGAAAAAACTGTCCAGAAATCATCTCAGAGTTGCTGCTAAGCATCTCATGCCTTAGAGAAATGTCCACTGTGATAACTAAAAGCAGGAATTCAAGATTAGCATCCTTCCATTCTTGCTTACATGGCCATGAATAAAAAGAGCAAGTTCTGTTACACTAGTATTCACTATTAAAAATTTATAACCCCATAAAACACCAATATGCTTTGCATGAGCTGTGGAAGAATGCAAACTCAAAGGGTCACTAGATTTATTACCTCCAAATTCAATGTCTTAATATATATAGTCTGTTTGAACACCATAAAAACATCCTTCTCATGGTCTGATTCTTATTTAGATAATACCCTGATAAAATCTCAGCCATATGCCAATTAAGGTCCTTAAAGCTATAGAAACAGAATCTACCTAATAAATGCTGCAAATTTAACAGGTATTTTAGATAAACATCATTAGCTTAGTTATCACCTAAACCAAAAAGACTCCTCAAACACACCAACTGCGTAGTTAGCAAAGACATTTGCTTTACAAAGTCAAATGTTGCCAACTTTTGAAAAGTTTAGCAAATCAACGTGGTATTTGGAAGCATTCAAGTGTCTAATGAAGTTAAAATACTGTGAAATGTTAGGACTAGGGGAAGCTCCTGTAAACAAGTACAGAAGTAGTCTTCATTTAAATTACAAAACATTCACCTCCTTAAAAAGCTTTAAAACTGACCCAGTCAACAACTGCACCCTGGGAAATGTAGCAGTATAAAGGATCTCTGTAAGCAAGAGAAGGTCATATATTGTTATCTCACCACCATAAAATGTACTCAGTGTCAGGAACAAGGAGCAAATTTGGGGAGATGACAATTATGACACTTTCAGGCCATCTGATCTGAACCACTGCACTTTGTTGGACAGCACAGAGTAAACCAATTTTCTTTGCTGCTCAGAAAACACTTAAAATAAGTTTTCTGCATCTGGTTGCTAAGCAGACTCTCCCATGTCCCCAGCTCAATTTACTTGGTTTAAAGAGTTCTCTGTATTTATTACCTGCTGCTTTCAGCAGGTGGACCAAAACTTCAGTGCCATCTTATTCATTGGCTCCATTGATACTTTAACTTCAAACCCAGATGCTACAATCAAAAGCAAATTTGACATTGTGTAAGGAAAGCATCAGATGAAGGTAATCAGCCCATAAAAGGCTTGTATTCCACAGGCTGCCTCTGCAGAACAGGCAACCTCCCACTAGAGAATGTGAAGGGACAATTTACCCCAACAGTGAGACCCAGAAGGAAGGAGGCTCCTATGTCTTGCACACTTTGGGTTTCGTATCAGGCACTTGAACTGTTGGACAGACGCCATTCTGAACCAAGTAAGTGAACATAGGGTTAGAATCATCTTTAATCTAGGTCTAATAATGAAGTATCAGCAGCAAAGTGGAGGCAGGGAGGAGTGAGCAATCCATCTGTGCTGAGACTTGTTTATGGTTTCTAAAATGCCCAAGAAAACAGCAGCAGTAACTGTTCCGTAGTGTCCGTTGTCCTTGTGAGTTGTGTTGCTGATAGGAGGCTTTTCTGTGTCTTGAACTAAGAAGGCATTGAGGTACCCTGTGCCTAATTCCCTGGATCCATCAGGTCCATGCTAGAGCCAAACATTGCCACCAGTTGCTCCTCATAATGTGTAATATTCCTCTTCATAATGTCCATGCAGGGTCCAAGCAACCTCTCAAACGCTTGCACATCCATGACTGTAATGGAACAGAGGTGAAAACAAGACTGTCAAAAAGGACACCAAATACCAATCTGCTTTTTGAACTCAGAACACACACCTTCAGTTCAACACACTTAGGGCTGACGCTTGAAAAGAAGCCACAGAAACAGAAATTATGTTTCTGATTTCTCTCTGTACTGTTATTTGGTGAAACAAGACTAATGAAATACAAACCTGATCCCAAGGATAAACACAGAAGGCAAATACACCCACAGTGGTATTAAAAGATGACCTGAAGACTGTGTGACAAACCAGTACAGGCCACACACAGAGAAAACAGAAAATCAGCCATGAGGAAGCAGCAGTGCTTCTCCAGCTTCCACCTGGAGCTCCCCTCCAGCCCATGCTCCCAGCCTCTGGAACCTGACTGCCAGTTACCAAAAGGTTTCTGGGTTTTGGATGGCTGCTCACTCAAGCATGGTCCATGAGACAAGCAAAGAACAGAAAAGGATGACTAGAAACACAGACCACCTGCTTACCTAAACATTTGACCTCCCCAACAGCATAGGCAGAGGCTGCTCTGGGTTTGTTGGTAACAAGTGCAAGCTCTCCAAAGTACTGCCCTCTGTGACACCGGGCAATCTCCACCTCTTGATTGGCTTCTTTACTCGTCATGGTCTGTCAAACAGTGCAGTTGCATTATTTGCACACAGCTCTGTCCTTGTACAAACCCACAGTTAATAATCCCAGACACTTTACACCTGTGAAAGCTCCTTAGTTTCAGGCCTTCAAACCAGCAACTCACAAGTCATGGTAGAACAACTCAACACCAGGTTCAGCTGGAAGTTGGGTAAGAAAAATGTGTGCCAGCCCACAAGTTTTGAGACAGGCAGGTATCTACTGCTACAGCTTTGGGAACTGCTGCTGTGCAGCCTAACACAGACTTTGCTTTATCATGCACCACATGCTGCTCCCCTGGCTGCTTCAGACTGCACAGAGACCCAGGCAAATGCCAACATCTGGTATGTCACTAAAGATAACAGACCCCACACTTTGTAATGTGCAATCTTCTACAATCATGGAAGAAAAGTTTTATCTCCAGCCTTAAAGCCAGGGAAAGTGTATCAGTGTGGAAAGGGATGGGATGGGTTGAGCTGCAGGCTCTCTCAGTCTCTCACACATCAGGTTAGTTTGCAGAGCAGCAGACAGAAACAAAAGACCTTGGCACTTCAGTAAAATGACTTCTGACTGCTTCAGAGCAGGTATGGGATTTTACAACCTACATCACACTAATAATGATGATCAACATCATAAAATAATATATTAAAATAACTCAGGGTGGGCTTTTTCACATCTCTTGTATTAATCAGTCAAATCAGGGATTGATCAATACAAAGCCTAATCACTCAATTTGAACTCACCTTGCTTTTTATCAAGATTTTTACTTCTCCAGATTCTACAATGTAAAAACAGTCTGCTTTGTCACCCTGTGAAGAAGAAAAGCTAAAATAAATTCTTTTTTACTTGACTGTGAAAGTATGTATAGATGGTATTCATGCATTCAATTTGAACTAGGCCTTCTGCAGAAATCTGCTAGAATTGACAAACACTCAGATTCTTAACATTAAAAGGTGACTGGTTGGGTAATGCAGCAGAGGAGCCCACAAGGAAGGAAGTATTAGTGCACATCATTCAGTAAGGGGGCAGGAGGAAAGGAAAACACAAAGGAGATTGATGATATATAGCAAAATCACTTAAATGAAAATCTTCTGATCCTGATTGAAATAGGCAACAGCTAGTGAAACTAAGCAGAACCTAGAATTTTCAGAAGCAAATTTTAATAAAACAGGGATTTTATTTAACAGTGACTATTTCTTTCAGTAGGAAGAAGGTGCCATTAAACTCTCTGTGGCCCTGCTTGAGCAGAGGGGTTGGACAGGATGACTTCCAGGGGTCCCTTCCAACCTCAACTATTCTGTCATTTTGTGAGATGTTCTAGAACATTTTTCACATCTCTCTCAACCTCATCATGTTTAAAATCTTCAAGTGATCCCAGTTTACATCTGCTCTGGAGAGCTCCACCAGCATTTTGTAATTTTAATTTAAACTGTGACAGGAAGGACATTTCCTCTCTATCTTTGCCCCTGTGGGCCTGGCATAGGGCTGGAAGTCAGAGGGGAGATCTGCAATGTGCCTTCGCTACAAACCAAAATCCAAGGGACTAAAGGCTTCAGGGAGACAAAGGCTGGAAAAGGAATGGATAAGGGAATGGGAGCAGCTCACCAGAAAATCCTGAAACAAAGTGAGGAGAGAGAGAAATCTGACATTAAGTCAAGTGGTCAAGGAGATAAATGTGAGGGGAAGGATGGAGAGAAATGGTTGTAACTTGAGTGTGAAATAAGGGTGGGAGAAGATAATGCAAGATTTAAACATGGATTTAAACAGAAGAAACTGGGCCTTTAGCTAAGCTTCCTGGGGATGGTCATAAGCCATCCAGTGCAAACTTTTCATTCACCACTGCCAGCCATCACAGCATGAAATAATGCTCTATGCAAACTTCTGAAAGAGTAACTGCTGAAAGAGTATTTTATTTTTAAAAAGAATGGAAACAAAGTGAGTGGGAGACACCCTCATAACACTACTAACAATTTTCAAGTGCTTTAAAGCTTACTGCCCTTAACTGAAGGGTCACATTCCAGAAAGGTAATTAAAATTTTAAATTACTCACAAGGGAAAAGAGGTTCCTGGTATTGATGCAACTGCTTTAATTTAAGAGTTATCATATCTTTTCCAAGCACAGAATTTCATCATCTCTAGCACTGTACTACCATCACCCAGACCTATCCAAACTATTAATCCTCCTTATAAGGATAATTACATCCTTGCCCTTAATTCAGTTATTAAAAAAGAATAAAACCAACTGTGTAATTGGATCACTGATGGTATGAATTCCCAGTTTTGATACTGATTTATAAGCTCTGATTTTGCTGAGAGTTCAGTTTTCTCAGGGTCTTAAGCAAAAGGAGTTTCAACTTTAAAAACTGAGGGTATTTTTGGAGTGAAGTAATTTGACAGTTATCACCAAACATGCTTCCTATATTCAGTTATGTGACATTCAAGACAATTAAGATCAATTATTCAAGACACTATCAAGGAATCATATTCTGTCTATACAACAAGAACAACATTGTAACCAAAACCATGCAGTTTCAGGTAAGCCTTTCTTGCATTAATTTCTACTTGAACTGGAACACTTTTACAACACAGTAACCTACAGCTAAATCTGATGCATAATTCTAGTGTCTGTAACAGTGCTCAAAAAGTTGTTTCTGTCACAGCCAAAAAAAAAAAATCAAACAGCTACAGCTTGAGTTCATCCAGCTTCATGTTCTACCACCCTGGCCTTGATCTACTGCAGCAGACAAAACATTCCTCAGTCACTGAAGGACTCAACTGAAACCAGACCACTGAAATAGCTCAGGAAAGCACAAGAAAAAACAATGGTTTCAATTAACTCTGACAGTTTCTTAGAGCTAGTGAGTCCCTGTTTAATCTGGTCACAGGGGCCTAGGAAAACTCTACATGGGGTATTTCATGGTAAACTGCATGGACATTTAATTTCAGCTCCTGAAGGCACACTCATCTTGAATCCTTGCAAAGACTACTTTAAAAAACATAGATGAGAGAAGAAATACCAAGAAGCTAAAGTAATAGAATAAATTTGCAGCAAAATACATACTGTCTATTCCCCAAACATTCAAGAAGTGGTCAAATAAATCAGAAATAAATATTAAAAGAATAAATGCCAAGTTGGTCCAAGTAATACAACTCTGCAAGTCAATTCCAAACAGAAAAAACAGAAGCACAGAAAGGAGAATGATAAAGAGAACTTGAGATTTCAAGTACCTGAGAAATGATACGTTCCCCATCTTGGTACACCTTCTCTCCTATAACATCCACTATCTTCATTCGCTCTGATGCCTGCAACAAAGAGGAAAATTAAAAACAATAATCAGTTATAGCTTATCTCTATGAACTCTTCTGAATCTCTATGACCCCTCCTGAAATGAACAGATATTCACTAGACACACAAACACACAATTTATAAATATAGCCCCAAAATGACATTATCATAGTACTGCAACACAGGTGTTAAAATGACCATAATCAACAGGAAAATAAAATTGTCCAGTGTCCCATCCCTGGGCTTGTCTGAGCACTCAAAAAATATCTGATTTGGCTGGTGTAGAGCAAAGGGGAAGGGGGAAAAAAAATCTTTATTTAAGATTCAGATGAAATTTGAAAAAAACACTCTGAAAAATGTTATAAACTTCCTAAGAACAAACTCTAATGAGAAATACCAGCAAAACATTTCAAAAATATTTTAACCACTATATACTTAAACACATGTGTGGGAAGAATTGTGTCCAAGAACTCATTCCTAGAGTGAAGAGGAAGGTGACATGACCAGGGATTTGCACTGGGAGCAAGGGCAGGAGCAGCACCTGCCATGCCAGGACACATGTCTGAGTCTTCACAAACAGGAAGGGAGAAAAAAGTTCTCTCCAGTGTTTCCCACCACCCATTTAGAACCCCACAAAACAATTTCACTGCTTCAGAGCAGCACAAAAAATCATACCAAGAAAGGAAGAAAAGTCTAACAGTTAAAATTCAGCAGATGATTCAGTTGCAATCAATCCATTCATTCCCCAAGTGCACCTTCATCTTGCCTATCTTTGAGAAATCAGATTCTGGTCCATGCATGATTCAACTGCAATGTGTCATGCAAAAAGCCATCTAGTGCTAATGAGTTATTTTGCTGTATCTTTAAATATTTGAGTCATTTCTGTGCTCAAAAAAAGTCACATTGATGGAACCAGTTTAAGGCAGGCACTGAGAGAAAAGGTGTTGTAATTTATCCCTTCCACAGCTACAATGTATGTCCAAAATAACACACAGTAGAGGCTGCTGTTCACACCTAATGATATTTACAATTTTGTAAACTTCTCCCAAGGGGATTAAGAGCTCAAATACTAAAGATTAATGCTGGAAAGCATTTTGTTATAAGGAAAGTTAAATTATGGTTTAAGGCAGAAACAGACTAATGTAAAAGCAGGTTGGTGAGTTCCAAAAGCCCTCTGACAACACAGGGTGAATCAATGGAAGTGATAATTTCCATATTGTTCCTAAATTCACGCACCACACACCCCAACAGGGCAGTGTGACTGCATTCTCAAGTCACAGTGCTTCCCTTTAGCAGTTTAACTCCTGAATATTAAGTTAAGCTTAAAGCAAGACTTTACAGCTCACACCTTTGTATCAAATTTAAAACCATTCCTGGCTGATAAAAGGTCAGGTGTCCACTGACTGTATCCTTACTTCACTATCACACCCTCACAAGAAACCACAGCCCTGACTACCATACTGCATCTTGATACCTGTTCCCTGAAATACCTATTTTTGATGTGGGTTTTTTTGTGTAAAGAACTTTTTAAAAATCCGACTGAGATAAAAATCAGCAAATCGCTATTGTGAATAAAGGATCCGGGGAAAAAACCCTAAAACTATTTCAGCAACGCAAATTAATTTGTGTAATGTATGTGATACCAAAGCAATATTTTGTTCTAAGCAAAAACAACAGATTTTTGATATAGATAGCAGGAGCACTGACTGGAGCTGCTGCTAATGCAAGAACTTGATGCAGATGTCTCTAAGAGGTTTTACCTCCAAGGATTTAAGAAGGGGCACAGACTCAATAAATAATTCATAAGTCTTCCTCTTCTTTGCGTTGTTTTTCAGTATAATTCTCCTGAACGTCACTCGATCCTGCAAGAAATAGCACAGAGAAATTCATTATTCCTCTTCACTGAAATGCTCCCTGTTTGAAGAACTGACAAACATGGATCCAGTATTTTACAGCAAATGCCAGGGCTGGGAAAGCAGCTGCTGAAGTGATACCACATCCACTATGACTGCAACAGCTCCTGTTAAGAGTACTTCTGGCAATAACAAATTAAAAAATTGGGAGCTGTAAGACTTGTTCCTTCTCAGACAACTACTCAGGGATTCAATTTTTATTCTGTCTTATACAGTTTTTCTGGGTTGAGTTTTGGGGTTTTGTTTGCCTGTTTGCTAATATATATATATCATGCTTCTGCATCAAATGAAGAAGTTTCGCTCTTCCTGCTGAAGCCAGTGAAAATTGGCATTTCCAGCACTTGTTAGGGCAACTGCAGAACTAACTCTGATGGGATTCTTCTCTGCTTGAGTCACAGATTTCCAGCGTTGAAGATTTATCCTGCTCTCAGGTCAGGAACAGAGGATCAAACGCCAAGGGGGCAAAATCCCCCCGGCCCCGGCGGCGCTGCGCCCCGCGGCCACAGGGCGGCGCTGCGGGGCCGGCGGCTCCGCCAACACCGAGCGGAGCGGGAGCGGCACCGGGAGCGCGGCCCGAGCGGCACCGGCACCGCACGGAACCAGCACGGGCACGGACACCGGGCACCGCAGGGCACCGGCACCGCAGGGCACCGGGACCGCAGGGCACCGGGACCGCAGGGCACCGGGACCGCAGGGCACCGGGACCGGGCACCGCAGGGAACCGGGACCGGGCACGGACACCGGGCACCGCAGGGCACCGGGCTCCTCTCAGCGTCTGCCCCACCGGGATCCGCCAACAGAGCCACAGCTGCAGTTCGCCGTGTGCAGCTGGGACCGTAAGTGTAAAAAAACAAAAGAAGTCAGAGGACAGGAGCAGAAATTTGGTCAGGAAAATGGTACCAAAAAAACCCAAAAATCAAAAAACCAAACAAAAACACAAAAAAAAACCCAAGAAAACAAAAAAACCCAAACAAAACAAAACACCACAAAAAAACCAAAAAACAAACAATAAAAAAATACTCCCCCTAAAACACCAGAAACCTCCTGAGAGCCATTCCTCCGGTTCCCAAAACCATCAGCTGGTTTTGTACCTAAGCAGCAGCATTTTGAGGTGAAGAGGTATTTTCAAGTAAGTGGACATCTTTAAGGGATGCAGGCTGCAAATAATTATTTAGGTATTTGAATAATAAGGACTAATAGAGGTGATATAAGTATGCTATATATTATAAGTATATAATATAATTATATACTTATATATATTATATATTTATATAAGTACATTATACTATACTATAAGTATAATGAGGACTAATAGAGGTGATATCAGTGGAACATGAAAGTTGAAGGATGAGGAAGATGAAAAGCAGGATGGTATTATTGTTATCCAAAGTAGAAAAACAGATGATAAAGCATAAGGGATTTTTCTGTTTTTAAGGAAATCTTCAGTGGTGAAAGTGTCTTCAAATGTTTGTATTTGGAGAAGCAGAAATACACAGAAACTGTGGGGGGATTGTAAAAGCATTAAAAAATCGGAATTCACCTGCTTGAGAGCATCAGTGAGGGAGGAAAAGCAGCAGTGTTTGAGCAAGAAAAAGCCAGGCTGTGAAGGCAGCAGTGAAGGCAGCGAGTGTGACCGTGAGGCTCCCCCAGACACATTCAGCAGCAAAGGCTGAGGACATTTCCCTCTAGAAGGGACCCGCTGTGGTAAATGCTTTGTGCCTGAGCCTTCCCTGTTTCTGTCGGCCTAAGCCTGCAATGCAGCAGGAATAATCCACACTTCCCAAAAGGCAGATAACCAAAGAGCTTAAGCAATGACTTCTGCATACTAATAAAAATATGTTTAAATTATATTAAGGACAAAACAGTACAATAAAACATGGCAACAAACAGAGTAACTGGAAGAAATAACTGAAGTTTGAGATAAAAATGCAGCCTTAGTTAATAAAATGTTACCGAACAGATGATTAGCAAGAGGTCCCTGTTCATCTACACCTTGCTAATTAATTGAATATAATCACAGAAAAACTAAATCCAAAATTAACCCAATTTCTGCAGTTCTTTTCAAAGGCAAACTGGAACAAAGAATAATCTTCTCATTTTCTTCCTTTTATGAATGAGTTCAGTTTGTAGCTAGCTGCTTTGTTCTGTCTTCCTTCAGAAATGAGATTCTGACATTGCTCCCTGGTTGATTTACCAAACTCTTTTCTTTCAGGTCACAAATAGAAGGGAAGTCAGATCCCCCCAGCAAGGCCGGGATGGCAGGAACAGCCACGGGCAGCAGCAGCTCATCAGCCCCACAATCAGGGTCACAACAGCAGCCAGCCCCCAGCGAGGAGCCCGGGGCTCACAGCACTTGTGGCTTCAAAGCTCTGCTGATGGCACAATCCACTCATTATGCCAACCCTCAGAGATGAGTAAGAGAGCACTGGGAAAATAACCCCATCCAAACAGTGCAGAGAAAAGAAGTAAAAAAGGAAACTAATGGCTGCAGCTTCACATTCAGCACTGCTGGGCTAGAGACAAAGCAATACCATCATTTAGCTCGAATCTCATAGGTCATGCTGACCTGAGAACCTCTTCCAAGGTAACAGAACCAGAGTTTATTGTGAAGGAAAACAAAGCTTTGGGCAGTTTTCTGGCCTCTTTAAATTACAAACATCCTCAAGAAGATATTTAACACATTCCCATTCCCTTAAGAGACAAAATGGTAAGAAGGTGAGTTGAAAATAAGGAACATAATTTAGATATGGTGCTTTAATGGCTCCACTGTCCTCTGCAGGATGAAAACAAAACCAGGTTTTTCTTCCCCACTAACAAAAGCCCCAATTACAGTAAAAGCAAAACTATAAAGGGACAGATAGAACTAGTGATATAGTTTTTATAGACAAGTTGTTCCAGAAAGTCAGCCAAAAAGATTTGCACAATGGATCTGTCAAGCCAGGAGATGAGATAGCAGGTCCTGATAAAATACCTATGAGCAGAGGAGCCATATCAAGAGGAGCTCTGGACACGCTGAGGTACTGCTTAAAATATTATGATATGAGAGCAACTTCATTTCCTTACCAGTCCCCAAAGGGCTCCTTCTGTTGTGGCAACAATGGTGGCAGCTCTGGGAGTGTTGTACATCAGTGCCAGCTCCCCAAAACTGCCGTGGTTATCGTAGCGGCCCACACAACGAGACTGGTTGTCTTTTGCTACAACAATGTCATACAACCCTCTGGAAAACAACAGAACAAACACTTTTTATTAGACAACATCCCAGTGCAAATCTTGAGAACAGCTTTTTGCTGTTATACAAACAGTCCTTTTATTGCTGTGTGAGATGGAACTTTTTGAGCTTTCCAACTGCCTGATTCTCGGCTGCTTCTATCTACACTATTTTCACAATAATTGTCTCTTGCTAAAGCATTTCTATCTATACTATTTTCACAATAATTGTCTCTTGCTAAAGCATTTCACTCCTGATAGACATGGGCAGGATCTACTTGGTTTCCTCTGCACAATATTTTGATGCTGCTGTTCTGGCCAAGGTGAGAAGCATTTTCACCATCTTTAACAGTGACATTTCACAGCACATGTGTTACCCAGTGAGGCCTCTAGAGAGACTCAGATTCATCTCTACCCATTTTCTCAGTGCCAGCAATGCTGCAGGACCTTTGGGACACACTCAATCCAACTGCTCACCTGCTACTATGGGTTTGCCTCAACTCCAGCTTCAGGGTATATCATACTCCAAGATGCTCTAAACCCACTGATATCTAGGCAAGATCTCTGAACAGAAAATGGTAACTGGTATTATAAAATACCAAAAATGGTATTATATATCCCATAAAATCACTAGGAACATAAGTAAAAAAGAAAATGAATGACCAGAAATGGTACTAGGTGAGGAAGGAAGGCACATGAGACTGCACAACAACCCTACCAGACACCTTATACTCTGCTGCTTGCTTACACCTAAGAGAGTAAGAAACCAGCAGCATACTAAAAGTAAACCAGAAAAGGATTACTATTGATGGAAAGTGTCACTAATTCTTGTAATGTCTGATATCAATTTAATGACTCTGAGAGGCACCAGAGGCAACAATCTTCAGAATTGGGGTTTTTTTTATCTGGAAGAGCCAGATGTAAACACCTTAAGCAAAAGCAGCAACAACTTCTTCCATCCTTCAGCCTGAAAGTAACTTACTAGTGCCATTTATTTCCAAATAACTGTAGCCATGTAACAACCTTCAGTCAAGCATTCTGCTGTCTTTGGCCCAAGGACTAATCTGGTGATGTAACACTGGGTGACCTTGGCTCAGCTTTACTGAGAAAACTGTTGCTGAGCTGTGAGAGTGTCCATGAACTAAAGCCCTGCAAGATAAGAAGAATAAAAACAGGCCCAAGTGTAATTGTTGAGAAGGTAATCGTTACGAGCCCAAGGACTCAAGCGAAAAGTACTGACATGAAAAAATATAAAACCCTCAGGCAGAAAAAGAAAGCAAAAAAGCAGAAGAGGGCAGCTCAGCAAGATTGTGGCTCAGTGTGTACCAAGAGGCAGCAGAGACTGCCCCTCCTGAGTGATGACTGCTCTATCAGCACAGACCCTGCCCTGCAGGTGCCTCCTCAGCAGCAATGAGTGTCCCATGTTCAGCCATGCAATAAATAAATCCCTCTGAGCTCTTCCCTCCTTGCACAGGGCACTGAACTCCGCTGCTCCCTCAGGATGTGCCTCCCCTGCCTGCTGCCCCTCTGTGCATGGTGAAAGACACTCAGACACCTGGTGAGGAAGTACTGCAAGCAGAAGGATTTAGGAAATAAAGGCCTGTGCCAGAACACAAAGTCACTGCTCATTTAGACAGAAAGAAACTAATTCTCAGGAATATTCAGGCATTAATTACTTGGGAGTAACAAGACATGCCTAATCATGGAAGAGCTGGAGTTCTCCAAACTTGCACTTGCACACAGTGGAAACACTGCGGTTTTCCATAAGGACCAGGACTCTGCTATTCTTTTGCATGAAAAATTAAGTGTGGGGGAGATGTAGGAAGACTGGAAAGGGAGAAAGGACTGAAAATTCCTAGCTGCAGAAGTTATTCCTAATAACCAAATAGCCAGCAAAAGAGTTGCAGCCAAGTTCCTGCTCACAGCAAAGGCTGCCATGGTGTCACTGGACAGCACCAATTTAATCTCCTTCACTGTATGACCTTTCTGTCACATACTCTTAACTTGGGAACAAAAAAGAACAAAAACCTAAAAGCCTGAAAACTTCCAATACAACTATGTATTGACACAAAAAACCTGTTGTGGAGTATCACTGCATCAGTAGAACAGAGATCATAAAAGCATTTACCTGAGTGCCTAAGTTAAGGTTCCATTTCACTTCTTCATTTTAGGTTAAAACTCATAGCAGAGAGCTTTTAATAACCAACAGGATAAGAGCCTTGCACAGAAACAAATCAAGATAGCTGATAGTATCTCACATTTCTGAGAGGCTCCCAAACCGAGTTTAAGGTTCCTCAAAATCAGGAACCACTGCTGTGCACAGATCTCATCTCTGCAGGGCTGGTGGCTCTGCTCCCACAAGCTCTGATCTGCAGGACCTTGCTCTTATCTGTAACAGCCTCATCTCTCTGCTCAATGTAGCAAGAGAAGGAACTCAGCCTGCCTAGCCAAAGACATGGGACTGGATGGAGGGAGAGCAGATGAGGAAGACAACAGAGTGCAGAAATGGGGCACTGGTTTAGGTAATGGGGTGGGATAGCAGAGGACAGGGAATGGCTGGAATATGTTTAATGCAGCCCTATGTTTTGTAATTTCACTAACCAGAAAGGGAATGTCCTTAAAATGAACAAAAAGCATTTCAAACAAACAATTTCTAACCTAGAAATTCTTTTGCAATTCAAAAGGCAACCTGTCTCGAAGAACTGCTCTGAAAGCATTTCATACAATATTAATGGTGCCATTATTTCAGTGATAAAAAGATAACAGTGCACCAAAAAAGCAGTTTGCTAAGAACATGTTCTAACAGACATTTATAAATCACTCAGTAATATTCTGTTTAACATTACAGTTTTGCAGAAGGAAATAAATCCATGTTCTTAATTAGTCTTTGGATATGGTTACTCAAAGTAACATTAGCCAGATTTTTTTCCAAAAGGGTAAAAGGTACTTAAAATGCCCACGCACACAGGTATGTATTATATGCCTGTTACACGTATATGTGATCCCAAAATTATGATGTGAATTTGCTTGATGGAAGAAATTCCAAAATGGCACCTTAAACTCTGCAAATACAAATCACAACCAACAGAGGAAGAGCACCCCCAACTCTCTCTGAAGTCAGTCATCAAAACTAATTGAATAAAGTCCAGGTTTTTCCAAGGTGGCCACTACCATGGATTTTTATTTCCTATATTCTCCTTCCTGAAAATAATGTCCTACCCCTTCCCCTTACCACAGAGCTACTTTGCTGCTTTTCCCCCTCCTTCCTTCAAAAAAAAATTTAACCTGGTCTAGAGACAACATGTAATATGGCTGGTTTTAAGCTGTGCTTATGCTGACAGGCACAAAACCTCAACTGAACAAATTATTTTCCTTCATAAACTGTCCTGTAGTAAACATTCCTTGCCATTTCTAAGAAACTGAAAAGAAAACATCCTCTACATTTCACAGGCACAGCTGCTTACCGCTCAACGACATAGAAGTTATCTCCATCATCCCCTTGGTCAATCACATGTTCCTGAGGTTTCACCTTCCTCTCAAACATGGCATCAAGGACCTGAGACAGCTGCTCCTAAAAAACAAGCAGGAGTGGGGGGAAAAAAATCAACTATCAGAAAACACACCTTAGTGTTACTGCTCTGTGGGAAATGGATTTATAGAAAATTTTTAAAGGTCAACTTAAAAGTCTGACACTGCTGGACAAGGGTGAGCTCATTTCATTTGGTGGGGATAGTGAACTGGAACTTTTGTACACTTGACTGTACAAAAATACAAGTAATACTGATGTTACATGTTGATTTCCACTAGCAGCTCACTCCTTTCCAGCTTATTAATATAAGTTCAGTAATGCAGACAACCAGACACAGGCACAGAAGAGCCATTATCTCAAATATATGTCCAAATGTCTCAATTTTCACATTTCACTGCCAAAGCACACACCTACCTTTGGTATAATCTGACACAGCTTCACTGCAATGGACACACATCAGTTCATATCAACAGTACATTTATTTCATTCATTTCATAGAAATGGCACCATGATCTATTCTATTCACCTATATCTATTAATTAATCTGTACTATCATCATCAAAGAGCCCCACTCATGATCAGGACTGTACTGAACAAGACTCTCCACAGACTTATTTCCCTGGATAGCCTGTTCTCTTAGAGCAGCTGCAATTCTAGCCCCAGATGAGACAGGACAGGTACAGAAGTGGAGCCCCAACAGAAAATGAGATAAAGCTGGTCTGCACAGCAGGCTCCAGCTGGGTTTCCCTGTTGAACCATGACTAAACTTCCTTTTTTTGCAAGCAGCACAGCCAGGGAAACTGTGAAAGCCAAGAAAGATGACACCATATAAATGCCTTGCCTTGATACTGACCTGCTTTACCATCTTTGCTATTCCCAAGCCCATAAACAATATACTTCCACTGCATTTTCAATGACCAGATGTTCAAAGTTGAAGATGTATATCACAGCTGAGTTTCTAAAAATACTCTTCATCAACACACAAGCCAATCTTCATGCTGCTGATACACTTGAAATATTTACTGCACTCCTGAAGTTGGGAATTATCACTGCAGCATCTCTTGGCACCACTACACTGAAAATATTCCTTATCTTTTAAACAGAATTCTGCTTTCTTGTCTTTAAAAACTGTGTCTGGACTTTTAGATCATATTAACTGTACATAACAAAAAATAAACTCCATTTAAGATTTGCTTGAAATGCTATTACCTGATCTAGGTTTTTGAAGAGCAGGATATCTTTACATGCTTCCTGCAGTCTGCATCGCTGTTCATCAGTTTTTGGATGAACTACCTTTAAAACAAAGTAGAAGAGAACAGTCATGACAACAAAGAAATATGATTACAGACTAAACCTTCAGCATGTAAAAGCAGAGCACAATTTAAGTGTCAAAAGTATACAGTCCTTTTTGTTTGCATAAACAGTATTTATATATAAACACACAATGCAAGACAGAATGAAAGACACATAAGAAAAATACTATGTTGACAATTAACATCTGAAAAATAACAGTGAAGAAAGACAAGAAAGAAGTGGATGCCTTTTTTCCATTCCATTCCCTTTCCTTCTAACACAGCCACAGTCAAAGGTTGAACATATCAAACAGGGGAAGAAGTGAACAGTTTTCTTCCTGAACTCTGACTATGTTAGTCGCAGTGTAACTACTGCTGGCACACAGGCAGTTTATATCCTATATGAGACATCTATCCAATAAGAAGTTATTGAATAAGAATGGTTTTTTTCTAACAAAATTACTTAAATAAAAGCTTTGTTGTTTGAGATATTTTGTTATTTCCTTCTATTTATAAGCATCAGGTTAAAGGAATCAATACTCACTGTATCACGAAAATGTTTATATATGTGCTTGTTAGGGGCTAAAAATGAAAATTTATTAAAAAATTAATTACCTGACATGCACCACATTAACATTTCTTATTTCTGGAATAACAAGGATTCCAAAAACCAGTTATATCAGTAGGTATTTCTAACAAGTTCTTTCCATAGTTATATAGGTCACAGATCCTTGTTTTAAAAGAAAACAGAATATTCAATCATCAGCCAAGAAAACTAAGACCTTTGATGGAACAAATGTGTCCAAGTTTACAAACATTTGAATAATCTGACACACTCACAGTAGTTTTTTTTTCTTTTTATAGCACATAAAAATTATTTACAAAGTATATTTATTAAGTATCTCTTCTTTTTTAAGAGAAATTATATTAGACTTAGATTTTCATTGCAGAAGTGTAAGCATCCTTTGCAATGGAATCTGGAAAGGAACACCAGAAGTCCAGGGAGAAAACACTGATTCCCACCAAGCAGGCTACAAGATTTGCTCACACAAACCCACCTCTGAAGAAATACCATTACAGTATCTGGATTTGCAATTCCTAGAAATTCCCAACTTTCAAGAACAAGAGAAAAAACAGGTGTCCACAGACTTAAAATATTTCAACCAAGCATTTCTCCTACCCAGGCAGAACTGCTCTGACAAGACAGTAAAAAGCATGTGAGGAATTTTAAGCACCCATGAAGAAACAGCTGTGGTAAAGCTTAACTAATTCTTCTTAACAGCATCGCGATCTAGGAATTGCCTCAACAAGCCTTTAAGAGAATTAAGAAAGGAAAATAGCAAAAATTTTAAAGATGGTAGAGTTAAGCACAGCTCTCAAATCCTTTGAAGTAAAATTGTACTAAAGCTGTAGTGACTGAAAAAGTCCATGAGACAAAGTGGCTCTGAATTTCAAAGGAATGTCACTTTGCCAGTGTCACCACACCACGCTCAGCAGGAAAAGCACAAGTGGTAAGAAAAGGCAATGCACATCTGACTGTCAGTCTGCAGAGAGACCCATGCATGCAGTGATTCCCTCACTCTTACCCTTTGTTCTGTATCTTCTTCCTCTTCATCTGGATTGAAAGCTTCAGCACAAACTTGGAAGAAAAAGAGAGAGGAGATAAGTAAAAAGAAGTAATTACATGAGAACAGCAAACAAATCAGTTTAAGTACGTTTCTTCTGTTTTCCTACAGGAAAAACAAAATCACTTTTCATTTTGTCATTATAATGTCAGAGGCTCAAACCCTGACTGCTCTCTGAGCAGGCACAGCACGGCTGTGCTCAGACTCTCATGTAAAAATTCTGTGACTTACTAAATAATCTTGCCTAGCAAGAACTCAAGCATGGACACAGCTTTCCTTTCAACTGGTATCAAAGCTTAACAACCTCCATTCAGATTCATTTACAAGCATCTTCCCTAAAATGCAGGAGAAAAATACTGCTGCTCCACTGCTTTGTTTTTTGCAGTGCCATGTACAGAGCAAAACACTGAGAGAAAGGAGCACAGGGAAGGATGAGGCACTCACTCCACCTCAATTCTGATTTGCAAGTGAGTATCTATATTTTGGGAGGTTTTTTGATACAGAGAAATCATGTTTTCACAGAAATTAACCTGGGAAATTAACCATCAACTTCACCATAGTACAGTCTAGGGAAAAACAGTATTTAGCCCCATCCCCCACACGTTTCTCTATCTTACTACATTTTAACCAAATTAATGTCAACTGATGATACAAAAACAACTCTAAAATTTACAGAGTGATTTTTTTAAAAGGATGAGAACAGTTGTGGAAAAGCGCACACTACAGAGCACTGGGACAAGGCTCTGCCAAACATGTCATTATACCTACAGGATCAACTGAAAGAGAGGCAAAAATGCAGAGCTGCTGAAATTTCAAACCCTTTTTGTTCAGTTTTAATTCTTCAGAAAAGGCTTATCTTCAGTTATCTCAGCATTTACACACAGTCTTCCAACACTAAACACAGACACTCTGGCCACCAAAAGCTCACAGTTCTAGCTCAGATTTTCTTATGAATTCATGGATGTTTACAGTTCTTGCATGTGGAAGTGATCTGCACATTGTAACCACCGGTACTGACAGCCCTGTTTTCATCTAGCTGTGCTCTTACCTTCATAAGGGTGGTCTCACTTCTGAGGTTATACATTACTTATAAAATTTTACAAGGAAACATAGACAAGCATTTTCCTTTGTACTTTATCCAGCATCCTGACAATAGTGAAGACTTGGCAGAATGCCCAGAAGCTCACTGCAATGACATCTAACTGCTGAATGGAGTGAGAAAGTATAAATAAAAATCCAGAATGTCTAGAATTCAGCAACTTGTAAATAATTTGAAAATGCACACATCTATTGACCCTGTCATTGTGCACTCAGTAGGACAATAAAAATGCAAAACTCTAGCACAATTTACTAGGAAAGATTTGTTTGGTTTTGTGTGTCTTGATTTTTTTTTTATTTAGTATTTTTTCTCCCTAACTAAAAGATACAAGTCTTTCCTAGGAAATTGGATTTTAATTCATTTTTTTCCTGGAGAGAACGAGGAGACTCAAATACAACAACAAGCATTCCACTTACCAAACCACAAAGTAAAAATGTAATCATATAATCATCAGGCATTTAGGGAGTAAGTATTGCTCATACAATAAATCCATTTAACAATACAGAAACAGTTTATTGACAGTGCACCTACCACACACATGCTTTTAGCTTAACAGAGCCACCCACACTTAGGGCAGACACTTGACAAAGGATAAACAGAATTCTTCCCTAGCTGAAAAAGAAGTATAGTCCATGCTAGAGTCCAAGGATGGCTGGTTTATAGGAAGGTGGATGCCCACAAAGCTGCAGAACTTGGACTGATAGGCTGATCCACTTAATATGCAATACAAAGGCACTAACAAAGAGAACATTATTAGCATTTTGGTGTGAAAGCTTCCTCCTCCTTCCATTTTACAGTAAAGATCAAAGTCTATTGTGAAAGCTTTGGATTTTCAAATAAGGAACAGTTACTAAGAAGAAAGGCTCCGTGGTTTCAACAGTATGGTGAAACTGGAGATAATTAACTCTCTCCATTTTTTACAACTAGTGAATCACAGAACTCCAAACTGGAGTCCAATTCTCTATTAAGCACAATATTACATACTATAAATGGTCACATATCTATGAATTCAGAGATCACTGTACAACTAGACCATTCTATCATTCAAATTTTAATATTAAGCTGCAAATCTGATTTTGTTCCTACCTCAGCTGCAGGGAAGCTATTTCTAAGAATACTTCAGAAAATTCAGGAAATTTTCTTTAAGATTTCCTTGGGAAAACAAGTTTTATTGCCACAACTAAAACTAGAGCATCAGAGCAAAACCTTATCTCAAAACACACATCAAAGCAACACAGTCATCTGTAATTTCAGTATGAAATGGCTTTGGTTATGGTTTGTAAATGTATGTTTCCCCTATTTCATCTTACCCAGTAAGGGTGAAAACAGGTCCCAAAGCCCACCAAGGACACAGACTAGGACTTAGTGCCCTTCCCTTACATATGGAAATCTCTTCTGTAATGCCTGTGAATGGGCACCACAGAAATACAATCAAAACACGGCAAAATATCACTTCTTCCCATGCTGTCACATAGAATGCCTTCCCATTATACTTTCCATTCTTGAACCTCCTGCTGGGATTTCTTTTTCCATGCAGAAGAGCAGGCCAGACGTTTTGACTCCAACCTTGGGCAGCTCTGATTGACAGGCCTCTACTTACTTGCAGGCAGAGCTGTAACACTTAATGTAACATTTCTGTTGTGGTATACTTTAAAAGGGGGAGAGACACAAAATTCTCAGGCTTAATTAACATTGTGATACTCTGGAAAGCCAACAGAAAGCTTTTCAGCCCACTACCTAACAACCAACAGTATTTTCCAAATACTTTAAAACAATGACTAATGAAAAGATACAGCAGCATTACATCAAACCCACCCCATGTTTTATGGGGCAGTATGTCCAATTTTTCTTTCCACTATTGTTAATTGGTAAATCACTTGGGGAAATATGTACTGTTGAACATATGACCTGTGTGTCAGTCTTACCTGCAAAATGTTTCATGTTATCTGTGCTGCTTTGCTATTCTTCTGGCCGTAAAGGACCCCCATAACTACCCTAAACTCTGCCAACCCCTGTCAGAAATCCAGGGAATTTCAGGACTCCTGAAGGTTATTCATTTGTGCATTACAGTACAGCCAGTCCTAATGAAAAAATATCTGATCTTTCATCATGACAGAGTGAAAACAGCCTTGACCCATTATTTGATACGTGACTGAATTCACATATTAACTATTAAAGTGTCCCAACAAAACACACTCTGAGGCAAGCTTGTTCTCACAAGATTCTCCTGAAAAGTGCTGTTTTACAGACTCATTTTAAAGGCAGTTGGAAGGGATCTCTCTCTGAAGATCATCCAGTCCAGCCTACCCGTCCAAGAGGAGCTATTTGGAATTCTGGGCTACTTTGGGGCTGACCTGGAAACCTCCTGAGGCAAAGATGGCACATCTCTCTGCTAACCTGCTCCAGCACCCATGGGGGAAGAGGTTTTCTGAATGTGCAACCTAAAGCTCACCAGTATCTCCATATAATTTGAAGTGACTTCTGAAATCACACCTTGCCTAGTTGAGATTTTCAGCACAACTCTGCCCTTGAGCAAGTGCTAAGCAAGAATCCATCAGTGGAAGTTACACAGCAGTGTGACACATCTACAGCTCTATCAGCTCACACCATGCAGACCAAGCTTCCTTCCAAATCCACCCATACATAGTTCAAATAGCTTTGGAACATAAAAAAAAAAAACGTTTTCAATTTTATGAAGCTTTGAGATAAAAAGAAATTCAGGCTTTTATCCTACCATCTACATTTAGTCTCTCTTAGCTTTTGCAGCTCTCATGCTGCACCTTCTTTGGCTTTCAAGAACATCTGTTAACACTTCTGAAGGCTCAGAAATGATAGAGCTCCATGGCTGCTTTGTTATGCAGGTGACAGCATCTGAAAGCAGCCGAGATGTGTGGAGCTGCAGCAATGACATCAGCAGTGGATGGGTGAGGGGAAGCAGGGGTGGGGAGAGAGGCAGAAGCAGCAAGACAAGTTTGCCAGTACAAACACCACCTTCGTTTACGCAAGTTTTAATCACTCTCAAGATAATATTTTTCTGCAAAATAAGTGTTTTGTCAAGATCAAAGTCCTTGCACTCTATAGAAATCTGTATGCAAAATAACAGTTGAGCTTTTAGCTCTGGCAAGTTAATAGAGCCTCCAAGAGAAATGCACACCATCCAGGTCCCTGAGAGATCTCTGCTTTTTGCAAAATAACAGCCAAGAGGCCGATGCCTGAACACCTTCAAACACACACAAAAGAAGGAAATTTAAGTTCTATGTTTTATGTAAGGTGAATGCATTATTAATATTCCTGTTGCTACTGAAACAAGTAGCAAATAGATGCTCTGTCATACTCTCTTTTCAATTTTGGATCCCACCTGCAGAGTGAAATCCAATTCACTCTTCCTTACTTATGAGGATGCATCACCTCCAATTGATCCTATCAGACCCATTACTAAAAATCCACTCAGAGCAGAACATGAAAACCACATTTCCAGTTATTTATTCAGATGAGTAATTTTAAACTCTGTTTAAAGCGGTGTTCTTTGCATTTGAGTTTGTCAAAGCTTCAAGCATTTTTTGAGTCTGTCTCTCAAGGACAGATGCATAGGCTGTTCTGGGAGCACCATGCCAGCTGGAAAGATGACCACTGCCAGTGGCTTGTCATTCCCTCTGACAGCTGAGCTGCACTTCAAAACCGTGCACTCAGATGAATTAGGAAGCTCGAACAGCACTTACACACAGGCCTTTGCTGGCACAGCTAAATGTGATTTTCCACACTTGGAAAACAACTCCAAGTTTCCTCTCACTTCTGTTGCTGGTTAGCTCAGAACTTTTTGGTTTAGAAACTGCACTTTGTTTCTCAAGTGAAAGATCTCACCATGTCAAAGCAGACGACAGATTCGTACCTCAATCCAGCAAGTGGGAAACAGAA